CATTATTATTTTAAAATCTGGAGCATGCAAATGTTGATCTAGGCTACTTTGGTCCAGTGGCTAAGGAACTGGCCTGCAAACCAGGAGACTGTGAGATCTATTCCCACCCCCTCCCTAAAAATGAAAGCCAACTTTGGGCCAGTCACTCTCTCAACCCACCCCAGGCCACCCCACCTACCCCACAGGGTTGTTGTTGTCAGGAGGAAAAAAGAGGAAGAAGGATAATTATGTATGTTTACCAGCTAAATTACTTATAAAGTAAAGCTGGGATAAAAATCAAGTAAATATATAAAGATGCATCTCATTTTTCCCTTTAAACTATTTCCTTTCCCTGAATTTTGAATTTTAAAACAATCCAATGTATGTAGAGCAAAAGTCTTCAGATTACCTCCTTGCCCTGGAATATTTCCTTCTGTAATCCACTTAGAGAGGGCTGTAAAGCACTGTGAAGCAGTATATAAATCTAAGTGCTATTGCTATTCTGCAGATTTTTATTTCTGGCTCTTTATTCCCTTCTTCATTCCCTCCCTTTTAATGATTCATCATTCCCTTAAATGTTCTGATTTTATTCCTAATTTAATTCAATAACATCTTTTTTCCTTACTGTGTTAAGAGTATCAGACAAATTAATTCATGTACTGTTTCTTCTTCAATTCACCCTAGAGAAGTCAGTTGGAATGCAATTTATAGGGCTGTAAGGTAGATTGGATTTAGCTTCCAAAAGATGCTTTGGCATTCAGAGTAATGTAAACACAGCAGATGCTTTAAGGTGTTGCAGACAAATGTCACATGTTCTTGAGCACTCTTGTCAATCTAAAGAATTGTAGGATTCTACAATAAAAAAACAACAAAAAAAACAAAAAATGGGAACAGTGCCATCTAATGGATACTTACATGCACAGCATTATATCTACAAGATGAGATATTTGTTGTATAATTCTCAGCCAGTGGTTGGGCTACTGGAGTCATGGGATGTATAACCTAATATTTTTGAATGATATTAGGCTGCATTGTAGCAAAGAAATAGATTGACTATAATTCCAAAGAGTCTATTTAAAATCATCATCATCATCAACAACAACTAAACTACCTTCATCTACATAATTTCACACTAACTATTCAGGATTTTTCACTGCTAAGCCATACTAATTTTATTGATGTATTACTGTTGTCTTATAATTAACCACAATTTGCTTAATAATGTGGGTTCTTTTCAGAATTAACCAGAGTCCACTTGGTCCAGTAATGAGTAAAAACCGTGTGCTCATTTTTTTTCTGAGTATTTCTAGCAATTCAACCCAATACATCCACTAGCGAGATATGATGGGAGATGCAATTATATCATATTTGGAAGCCACCCTACTCATCCCTACTTTAATCAGTCAGAGATCCAACATTGGATTCGTATTCTATCCATTTTCCCCCTTCTTTTGCACCTAAAGAGAAAAATGTGTCTATTACTATGATTTAAATCTGTATACCCCCCCCCCCCCAGTGTTAATCAACACAATGTCTCCAGAATGAATTGTGCATAAGAGTTATTTCCAATTGCTTTCTGAAGGCTTAATAGAATAGCTCTTTAAGACATATTTTTGGATTGCCAGGAATTTGGCAGTGGCAAAATCCTGTAATTTTTAACAAAAGTGACTCCAAATGTGTGCAGTAATCTCTAATAGTAAGTGACTTTATTCAGCAGTAATACCTACATCTGCTCAAAACTAAGTTCCAGGTTTGTAAGGATTGGAATATACTATTTAGACAACAAATTTAAGAATAATCACCCAGAAGGAAGCTCTGTGTATAGGTTTGTACTCCTATGCATAGGTTTCTACTTTACCAGATTAAAATGGGACTTCAGTCTTACACTATTTTTTCAAGTCATTGCTAACATGCAACTGGCTGATAATGCCAGAAAAAAGTCAGATATTTAGAACATGGAATGAAACACCAGGACTGAGAGATAATGATTTAAATCCTCAAAAAAGTGGCTTTTATCCTATCACTCTTGAAGAACCTAACAAATTTCACAAGCTTCAGATAAAAAGAGGAGATAGAGAGATCTAAAGAATTAGAAATAGCCACAGGGGTTGGGAGGACACTGAGAAACTTATTCTAGTGATATATACCTGCTCTTCTTAGCAAAAATTTAATTTGTATTGGTAAATCAGCAATCACAACTTAAAAGAAATTATATGAAAGACTTCATGTAGGAGGCAATGCCAAAACCTCCTTTTTTCTCTTGTATTTTTTAAATCCTACTTTAATTATCAGAATGATTTCTTTGAAGGAACTATTCAGCTCAGCTTTAGAGCCTTTTCTAAAACCAAGCACAAAAGTTAGGAATCTAATACTTTTAGCTAAGTGCAAAGTTTCTTTTATCTCAGGGGTTAACGGAACTATCGAAAATAGAATAACACTGAAGTCTTCTTCAAGTGACAAATTTCTCAACTTCAGAGTTTCTCTTCCTTGTGCTATTCACATCCTGATCTTGTTTATGTTGCAGATGGCATTGAAATCTATAAGCCTTCCCCCCTCAACTTTTTAGCTTTGCTTCTTCTGAAATAATTAATTTTCCTAGGTAGCCATAGCGATTTATTTTGTCTAAACTTCAAGAGACTATTACATAGTTGTGAAAATAATAGCACATCAGCATTTGAAACTTTCAGGCTTCAGTCTTGTGTATATTTTCCTTTGAACAAGACCTATAAACACAGGGGAGCTCATTTCTGAAAAATGTCTAGAGGTTAACAATCCCTAATACGTCTGTCATTTTTCTATGCTAAGATATATAATATCAAGAATCCCAATTGATTAGTCTAGTGATGCATCTAAACAAGTATGTTTCCCAAAGTCACTATCTAAGATGAGCTGAGAAAGTCCAGAAATATTTCACTAGAAGAGTTCTCCACTCCTCTATTTGTTGCAGAATACCTTATGCCACCAGACTTGAAATTCTAGACCTAGACAACCTAGAACTACGCCGCCTTCGGTCCAATCTAAGTATAGTATATAAAATCATACATTGCAATGTCCTACCTGTCAATGAATACTTCAGCTTCAACCATAACAATACAAGAGCACACAATAGATACAAACTCAAGGTAAACCACACCAAACTTGATTGCAGGAAATACGACTTCAGCAACAGAGTGGTCAATGTCTGGAATACTCTACCTGACTCTGTGGTTTCTTCCCCAAACCCCAAAAACTTTAACTTTAGACTGTCTATTATTGACCTCACTCCTTTCCTAAGAGGTCTGTAGGGGGCATGCATAAGAGCACCAATGTGCCTACCGTCCCTGTCCTATTGTTTCTTATTTGTATCCATTTCATGTATTCATAACTATGTATATATCTATACCTATTATTTTGTAAGCAATTGACAAATCAAATAAATAAATCAAATAAATAAATAAACCAGGAGTGTCAAACTCGCGGCCTGCAGGCCAGAGGCGTCATGTGCTGGCCCCACCCCGCCTGGTTTAGCGAAGGGGAAAAGTCCCAATACATCACATGACGCCACAAATTTGACACCCCTGATCTAGATGTTTCTAAAAAATTCACAAGCAGAATTACTTTATTTTCTCCCCCAAGCATCAGATAGTGAGAGATATCTCTCCCAAACATAATGGTTATTTCAACATCATGTGAACGCTAACTGATAAATTTGTCTTTCACTCTAAATTTGCCACAACAGATTTTAACTATTTAAGCTAAAATTCATAACCACACATGCAAAATAATCTGAAATGAGAAGATATGTTTGTGCATAGCCTGTTATTGCCCTGTCAGAGGATCACTAGAACTTAGTTCTATGATTTTGAAAGGGTGGGGGGGAATCTTCACTCTCCCCAAAATACATAATCTACAGTAATCTGGTTTAATGGTAATTTCAATGGCTTTTTTTCTAAACCCAAAAAACTTTTGAATCATCTAGTTTTTTCTTCATAGGAAAGATCCTTTAATAAGCACTCATTCAATTTGCATCTTTATAGTCATATGCTATTTTTGACATGGGACAAGTAGAAATGTCTGAGAATGGAGCATACACCTATATTTCTACAAAACTTACTTTCAGTAATTTTTATTTTGCCAGTAATTCTGCACTCTCCTTGTTTTTGATTTTATCCAGATCTATTTTAATGCCATTATTCTATTTTTAGTGTATCTTTTTATTCTGTGAGTAGCCAAATAACATGCTTGTGTGGGTTTGTGTAGCCCGGAGTGCACCTATGTTTCTATTGAATCAGAAGATATGCACTAGGCTCTGCAACTGAATACTTTTAATCTAGAAACCAACGAGAGATATGTAATTAAATTCCTTATAAGACACAACTCTTTCTCCTCTTATATAGAGGGCTTTCTATTTTAGCTTTTTGTCTTTGTCTCCCAGGCAAAGGCAATTTTTATATTATGCTGCAGAGTAATGTTATTCAGTTTTTGCTCTCTCATCATCTACTTGCCTGGCAAGTTTTATATCAGATGCAACGGATTATATATCTCCCAAAGGATTTCCTATGATTTTTATATTTGCTTTTAGACATGCAGTCCTACGGACGATTACTCAAGTCTTCTGACATTTAATGGTACTCAACTCCGACATAAGTATACAGAAACTGTTACCTAGCACCGAATCAGACAAAATTTAAAAAAAAAGAAAGAAACTCTTGCGATGTCAACAGCAAGGAAAATCTTCCTCCCGGTACCTCTCAACACCATGACAGTCGCCCGCGCGTATGCGGACTTGTCTCCAAGTCCGTATGCAGCGACTTCGCCAAGAAAGAGCGCCAAGATTCGTAATTCAATGGGGCCTATCTGCGCTTGCGCGGTATCATGACGTCCGGCAAGGGGGAGAGGCAGAACTATTGATCGAAGAGGAAACACGCTCCATGATATTATTACGTCACTTCTGGTGGCGTATGGGATACGAAGTAGAAATAGGTTTGAGAACCATAGAGTAGCGTCTCTCGGTCGGCTTCCTTCTTGAGAGCGTGACACTTAATACCGAACGCGAATCTTTGTCCAACAACCAATCAACCAGGCGTGGCACGCAATTCGATGCTCTACACGGCTACCTTGCCCGCCAATGGCGGCTTTCTAGGCATCTTCCGTTTATGCAAATGAGCCTAGAAAGTGAAACTGATGGAGCATTTGGGAACTGCGCATGCGTCCTGGCAGTCGCCCCAAGATTAAGGCGCGATTCGGCTGCAGGACTTCGAGAGGAGCGGTGCCGGTTTTGGGAAGAAGAGGGGACCGGGGGAGGGGGGTAGAAGGGCCACACGCTTGGCGATTTGCCCAACGGTAATTTCGACAGAATCTTTCCAAGTAAGGGCACAAGAGGGACGCGGAGACTCCCTCCGAGGACAGCCCCGAATCCCCTCGCCGAAGGGGCTGGGGAACGAGTTTGGCCCGGGAGAAGTGGGCGGGGGGAAGGTGGGAGCAGCGGCTGGATCCAAAATGATCCGGGAATAAACCAAAGAGATGGGCTGTAATGGAGCTCCGTCCTTATTTCCAGTTGCATTTCTTGCTCCCCCCACCCCGGCAGGTGAAGGGCATTTTCTCTTTCTTGTGGGGCAAGGCGAGAGGTCATGCCTGGCGCTGATCTCCAGACGGAATCACCCTGCCCATCATCCTTGCCCACCTAAGATGGGGGAGAAGTGGCGTTGCCTGCCAAGGGTCGCCTTTGCAAGAGCTTCAGGCGGAGGGGGGGAGAGAAGGGTCTGAGAAAAACGGGTTGGGAAAGCAGCCTTCCCCCCCCGTCCCCCGCACCCCTCCCCCCGAGATCTGTTCAGGTACGCGGCTCCCCAGCTCTGCTTCTGCCGCTTAGGCAGAGAGACGAGTTCCCTTGAAGTTTGCACCCAGAGATCTAACTTTGGGACAAAATAAACCAGAGTTTGCTTCTGGTGTATTTATTGGCCGTTCAGTTGCGCTCCCTGATTGCCCGCCTGGTAGGACGGAAGTGGAAATGGTCTTTTTTGTTTTTGTTTGAAAGAATGAAAACAAGCTTCCATCTTTCTTTTTCCGTACAAAGAAAATTTTCTCAGCAAGAGAAAGGTTCGGTTTAAAGCAAGTAAACCATTTAAAAAAATTGGGAGGGGGGGGCAGATTTAAAAAGGATTAAGGTTCTTTGGCCCCTCCTGGTAAAGCCTCTAATGCCTTTTTGAGACATTCTGAGGTGGGGAACTGCCTAAACTAAAGGACCGAGAGTAACACGAAAAGCAGTATAATGTCAGATTTCCAGTACTTTCATTTATTGTAATGGGGGCGGTGTATTTAGACTGTATAATAATATAAAACTTCATTTAATTCCATTTATATGACCCTTAGCAGATAGTCATGCCCAACTGAAAATATCAATGTTGGAAGCTAATCAGGGTTAGTTGATACTTGGGTGGGAGATTACTTAAGAGAACTAGTGCTATAAGACTAGACAGGAAAGTTGAGAAAATAGGCAGTTTGTTTTTGATCATTGTCCAGAAAACCATATAGACGTGCTCGTGAAATCACAGGAGTTAAAATCAACTTGAAAAAAACCTTAATTTTTAATGAGTTTTTCTATCAGTCTTTAGTTATTAGCAGTAATCCTCATTCTATGGTCCATTTTAAGGATGATGTTCAACAAAAGGATAAATCTGTATCTTTATAAATCAAACGAAAAGAAACTTACTAGAAAAATTAAAAAGGAAGCCAAAATTCTCTAAAAAAAAATTATCACATCCAAAAGACTGAGAAATAAAGCTGCTTTTAATTAAGAAAATTAAATAAATTGAGAATGGAATTATGATTGGTGTGAGACATTTTCATATTATAAACAAATACAGTTTTCAGATATTGAAAATAAATCAGACTATAGACTGCAGACAGTTCTGAGGGGCTGGGCACCAAACCTAGCTTTATGAAGGTCTGGAGGGCTACAGACTTCAACAGAAGTATGGCTGACATTCGTTGGCCGTTTTCAAAAAATTAACTATATTTTATTTTAGAGGATTTTAACAGGAATAGCAATAAAAGGCACATGGGAAGCAGAGTACTCCCATTTCCATTATTTTAATCAAAACAGTCACTCCCTTCCCTTACTAAAATTGTTCTTGTGTATGTTTAAGTGCATTTTAAAGGTGAAAATCTGAGTGAGGTACTGGTGCTCCTACCTCCTCCAAAATCTGAAGAAAATTACTTGAAATTACACTGCTGAGATTGAATTTTTTACAGATTTCAGGAGCAATTCTCTTGGGGAGTATGACTTGGGGGATGCTACCACATCCTTCCAAGGTTGGTAAAATGACCCAGATTGTTGGGGGCAATATGCTGATGCTGTAAACAACTTAGAGGGGGCTGTAAAGCATTGTGAAGTGGTATATAACAGGGATCCCCAACCTTTTCGACGCCGCGGCCCGGTTCCGGCGTCAGCTGGGCGCCGCGGCCCGGTTCCGGCGTCAGCTGGGCGCCGCCATTTTTTTTGACGTAAAATCACTTCCGGTGATGTCACCGGAAGCGATTTTTTCGTCAAAAAAAATGGCGCCAGCGCTTCCGGTGAGCTTTTTCGGGTAGAAATGGCTTTCTACCCGGAAAAGCTCACCGGAAGCGCTGGCGCCGCCATCTTTTTTGACGAAAAATTGCTTTTTTTACCAAAAAAGATGGCGGCGCCCAGCAACCAGCGGCCCGGTAAAGCTTGTTCCGCGGCCCGGTACCGGTCCGCGGACCGGCGGTTGGGGACCCCTGGTATATAAGTCTGTGCTATTATACTAATTCACAGTTCTTTGATTGTTTTAAAGATTATTTTTTCTTTGAATTTATGACATTTCTGTTTAACAAAATGTAATTAAAGTGTATCTCTCTTAATTTTTTCGGAATAATTCCTGATCTTTCCCTCACTGGGAATTATACAGCCAGAATTCAATACTACAGGGAATCTTTAATTTTAATTCAGCATTTATATACCAGTTCTTAAACTTGTTGCAGTGAGATGAATGATATTATTTTTAGTTGTATTCTGATGGGACTTTTTACAGTTATACATGGAGTGAGATAACTTTTATTCAATTTTTACTTTTAGTTATGGCAAAAAGAAAAGAACGCCGTTTTTCAACGCCAGTATCCCACAAAAGAGCTAGGCAAGAATTCCAGGATAGCTCTGATGGTGACCTTAGTGACGAATGCTCAAAGCTAATGAATGACAATAATTCTGATTCGCAATTGGTAAGCTATAAATGCAACAATGTAATTTTGAAATTATCTTGAAAGGAAAAATGAAACAACAGTCTCAGACAAAGATAAAAAAAACCAATTGATGAAGTGACTAAGCATCCAATTAATCATCCATTTCAATTTTTTATACATTTTGATTCAGCTGTGAGCAACTTGTGATCCTCCAGATACTGAACTAAAATCCTAAATATAACTCACTGTTAGCCATGCAATCACAGGCATTGGGGCAATGACAAAAATATGTATTATGATGATATCAAAGATATCTGTGACTTGGTGCTTGAATTCAATGTTGGGTGTCTGTGTATATGCAAAATAACCACTTTGTTTTAATTAGGTATAAGCTAATTAGGGAAAAATGACAGTCAATGGCATTAAATGCCAGGATTCAACTGCTGGTATTTAATGCCATTGTTTTTTTGGCTTTGGTTTTAGCCTTGACTGTCTGCATTAAATTTTAACCAGAAACCTAGACTAAACTGAATTTTGGAAAGTATGTATTAATTGGTGTTGAATGCCGTGCTGGTAGTTGCACTCTGAACATGGAGGCAGCAGGGCAAAATAAAAACTACATTTTATTAAGGTAAGTTTCCTTGTGATTACTCTGTGGATTTCATTTCCTCCTTTTTCATATTAAAGCTTCATTAAAAACTTCATTTTTCTCTTCCTAGCATTTTGTAGCAACTGAAAGTTATTATAATTCTAATTCTCTGTAATGTTTGAGGGTTATATGTAAAAGGTGCACTTTTTTAACCATATATACAGGTAGTCCTCGAGTTACGAATGAAATGGAGCCTGCCCATTCCATTCGTAACTCGATTCATGGGATTAAATCTTGTACCTTGAACGCGATCATTCCTCCTTTCTCCCATGCGTTCACTAATCCAATGCGAGGCTCATTAAGTGCACATGAGGTATTTCAGGTTGAGGAAGGCCACCGGGGGGGGGGGGAGTGATGAAAGAGGCCACATGCTTCAGACCACCCAAGGCCTCCCCCGACGCACGGATACCTCATTCTCCCTTGGGGTCCCCACAATTGCTCCACCCCATCCTGCTGCACCAGGTCTTTTGGGACTTGTTTGTAAATGCTAGGGGGCGCTTATCACATAACTTTAGACATTCGCTAAGGGAATGCTCGTAACCCGGGGATTACCTGTATATGTTGAAAAACAGTAGAGGAAGAATTGTTTCCAAGATTTTTGCCAGAATAAGTATTCTTAAACTTAGTATTGGGCCTTCCTGGTTGAATACAGTTTTTTTTTCCCCCTCCAAAAAATACGTTCAGACTTGTGCAGGGAAAGTGGAACTGTAGATAGTCCTCGAAATACAACAGTCCATTAATGACTGTTCAAAGTTACAAGCAACGCTGAAAAAAGTTACTTATGACCGTTGTGGCATACCCATGGTCACATGTTCAAAATTCTGATGCTTGGCAACTGGTTCATATTTCTGATGGTTGCAGTTTCCTGAGATCATGTGATCACTTTTGGTGACTTCTAAAAGCAAAGTCAATGGGCAAGCCAGATTCACTTCACTGTTAGTAACTTAACTGTAATGATTCACTTGTAAGAAAGGTGGTAAAATGGGGCAAAACTCATTTAAACAAATGTCTCATTTAGCAACATAAATTTTGGTTCCATTGTGGTTGTAAGTTGAGGACTATCTGTAATACCAAAGAAATCATTAGTTTTTTTAGAGGAGGTCACATACCTTCAGTTATTTTAGAAATCTTAGTACCATAGAGTTTCAGAACCTCTCCAGCATTGTACTGTCAGTATTGTAAGGTCTGGGAGCTTACTCAGCTTGTGTAGAAATTTGTGATCAGGATATATTTTTTTAGCAATTAAAATGTCTTTCTGATGTACTCGTAGGTCTCAGGCGATGTTGGAATAATTGAAAGTATCCAGCTGAAGAACTTTATGTGCCACTCTATGTTGGGGCCATTCAAGTTTGGATCCAATGTCAATTTTGTAGTTGGAAACAATGGAAGTAAGTTGTAATTCTTTAATCAAAAGCAATATCATGGTGTTAGTTTTTCATTTGTAGGTATGCAGAAAATTTGTAAACATTCTTTTTGCTTCAATTTGAATCTCTAATGCTGCATTTGAAAATTCAAAGTTGGCTGTACTTTAACAGAACATATCTTGAAACTTTGCTTTGCTCCATTGAACTAAAACTTACAGCATTTTGAATGTTTCATACATAAGAAAAAACAGAAGTATAAAGCAAGTTTTTGATCCCTGATTCTCTATCTAAAGCATGGGTGTCCAACTTTTTGGCTTGCCTGGACTACACTGAACAAAGAAGAATTGTATTGGGCTGCATATAAAATACAAAATACAGTTAGTGTGTATCTAACTATCTTTATTATGTGAGGCTACATTACTAGCTGTTCAGGGCCACCTGTAGTTGTTGGGCCACGGGTTGGACAAGCCTGATTTAAGGACAACAAGAATAGTTGAAATGACAGTGTATATGACTACTTTCAATCTGCCAACTATTGGAAAGATTGATGAAAGGGGGAACTTGAAATAATAAGGGAAATCCATATAGGGAATGATTGAACCTGGCAGCTATAACTGACAAAAGAACAAATAACTGTCCGTTCTTACCATGAAGTGCTAGAGCCAGTGGATAAATAACTAAACTCTCATCAGCTTTCTTCAGTGAGTAGCTCGTTTCATGCAACATATAACAAAAGTTATATATTGAACTCCATTGCATGTGTTTCTTTCATATTTTATATATACACATTATACACACATACTCTGTGTGTGTGTGTATGTATGGTATTCAGCTTTGTTCGGGTATTTTCCCTCATTATAGTTGTGCTTTTAAAGTTGTAGCAACGTTTCGGCAGAATCTCATCTGAAAGCATGAATAGAAGAGATGACTCCACCAGACTGTCAATTATCTGGAAGCCTGCACTCTCAAACAAAAAAATATCCACACCACAAGGCAAACACCTGGGCACAAACAGACTCCCCCTGATACCTCCAGCTCAAACCCACCCCAACCAGGCACCCAGATGAAACCTAGCTTCCTGATAAATGATAGCCGTCCATTTACTCGGAGCCAAGCTGCACTAAAAGCCTCCAATACAGGAGACACAATGTTGCCAGCCAATCAAGACAAAAAAAGCCACAAAACAGACAGAAGATATTAGAAACACCAATCAAGCAGAACACAGCAAACTCCAAGACCAATAAACACAGACCAAGACTCCCAACCAATCAGGATGAAGAAACAACCATTCTGGCACAGCAGTAGGCTAGCCCCAAATTTAAAACAGAAACGGCTGGGAAAGTCTGACTCACAGACGAACACAATACTGAAGCCTGATGATGGCAGATGAGATTCTTCCAAAACGTTGCTACAACTTTAAAAGCACAACTATAATGACGTGGGAAAATACCCAAACAAAGCTGAATACCATAAATGTAAGTACCCGTGAAAACTTACGAAAACATACATACATACATACATACATACACACACACACACACACACACACACACACACACACTGCTCAAAAAATTAAAGGGAACACAACAATAAGACATCCTAGACCTGAATGAATGAAATATTCTTATTAAATACTTTGTTCATTACATAGTTGAATGTACTGACAACAAAATCACACAAAAATTATCAATGGGAATCAAATTTAGCAACCCATGGAGGTCTGGATTTGGAGTTACACTCAAAATTAAAGTGAAAAAAAAAAACACTACAGGCTGATCCAACTTGGATGTAATGTCCTTAAAACAAGTCAAAATGAGGCTCAGTAGTGTGTGTGGCCTCCACGTGCCTGTATGACCTCCCTACAATGCCTGAGCATGCTCCTGATGAGGTGGCGGATGGTCTCCTGAGGGATCTCCTCGCCACACCTGGACTAAAGCATCCTCCAACTCCTGGACAATCTGTGGTGCAACGTGGCATTGGTGGATGGAGCGAGACGTGTCCCAGATGTGCTCAATTGGATTCAAGTCTGGGGAACGGGCAGGCCAGTCCATAGCATCAATGCCTTCATCTTACAGGAACTGCTGACACACTCCAGCCACATGAGGTCTAGCATTGTCTTGCATTAGGAGGAACCCAGGGCCAACTGCACCAGCATATGGTCTCACAAGGGGTCTGAGGATCTCATCTTGGTACCTAATGGCAGTCAGGTTGTCTCTGGTGAGCACATGGAGGGCTGTGCGGCCCCCTAAAGAAATGCCACCCCACCCCATTACTGACCCACTGCCAAACCGGTCATGCTGGAGGATGTTGCAGGCAGCAGAACGTTCTCCACAACATCTCCAGATCCTGTCACGTCTGTCACATGTGCTCAGTGTGAACCTGCTTTCATCTGTGAAGAGCACAGGGCACCAGTGGCGAATTTGCCAATCTTGGTGTTCTCTGGCAAATGCCAAACGTCCTGCACGGTGTTGGGCTGTAAGCACAACCCCCACCTGTGGATGTTGGCCCTCATACCACCCTCATGGAGTCTTTTTGACCGTTTGAGCTGCCACATGCACATTTGTGGCCCGCTGGAGGTCATTTTGCAGGGCTCTGGCAGTGCTCCTCCTGTCCCTCCTTGCACAAAGGCAGAGGTAGCGGTCCTGATGCTGGCTTGTTGCCCTCCTACAGCCTCCTCCACGTCTCCTGATGTACTGGCCTGTTTCCTGGTAGTGCCTCCATGCTCTGGACACTACGCTGACAGACACAGCAAACCTTCTTGCCACAGCTCGCATTGATGTGCCATCCTGGATGAGCTGCACTACCTGAGCCACTTGTGTGGGTTGTAGACTCCGTCTCATGCTACCACTAGAGTGAAAGCACCACCAGCATTCAAAAGTGACTAAACCATCAGCCAGAAAGCATAGGAACTGAGAAGTGGTCTGTGGTCACCACCTGCAGAACCACTCCTTTATTGGGGATGTCTTGCTAACTGCCTATGCTTTCCACCTGTTGTCTATTCCATTTGCACAACAGCATGTGAAATTGATTGTCAATCAGTGTTGCTACCTGAGTGAACAGTTTGATTTCACAGAAGTGTGATTGACTTGGAGTTATATTGTGTTGTTTAAATGTTCCCTTTATTTTTTTGAGCAATGTATGTATGTACGTGTGTGTGTGTGTGTGTGTATATATATGTATATGTGTGTGTGTGTGTGTGTGTGTATATGTATATGTGTGTGTGTGATTATATTTTACATATATATGCCGAGAGGGAGAGAGAGAGATCTGTATCAACAAGTCATAAGCAAGTCATAAGAGCATGCATAGACTGGAAAACTTAGCAAAGAGCCTTCACTGCATTTTCAAACAAATTGAAAACTCTGTAGCAACAAGGAGAAGAACCAGAGCTCAACTAAGTCATCTTAAATATATATTTTGTAGGGATATTTTAGCCTATATGTTGGTATTCTGTCATGCTTTTGTATCTTACTGATGTGAAGTTTATAAAATATCACTGAAAATAAAAAAAATTCTTCAGTTTCATCCTGAAGTTCCAATCATCTTAACACAAAAGCATGGAAAGAGTGCATTCATAGTTGGACTTTGTACTACCACTCTGATATTTGAATGATGCCACTAGCTTAATTATTTCTGAGCCTGAAAGATACTTAATTTTCCTTGCTAGCACTCCCACCCCTGTGCTTGGCTTCAGGGATTGTCCTGAGTTACTAAGAAAGTGGAACCATGAATAATGCCCACGATTATTTTAGATTGTGCCGGAAGAAGAGTCTTTACCATAGCACTGAGTTTTCAGCCTTAGTTGTTTTGTTACTAAGTCAAGTATTTTAGCAGTAGTCATTCTCTCCCTTTACAAGCTACATTTTTTTCTAACTTCTTCTCTCCTCCTCTTGTTTTTCTCAATAGCTTGTTTGAGAAGTGTTTTTTTTTAATAATCGGGATGGGCTGAATGAAAGGTTGAGGGTGTGGGCTAAACACAAGTTTCTGTTTAAAAGAAAAAAACACATCTGGAGTACAGTAAACAACACAGCAGTTGTATCACTGTTGGTTCCATTTATATTTATTGCTTTTTTTCAGGTGGGAAAAGTGCTGTACTAACTGCCCTGATTGTAGGCCTTGGAGGAAAAGCCACAGTGACAAACCGAGGATCATCCTTGAAAGTATTTGTGAAAGATGGACAGAGGTTAGTGAATTTCTGCAAGAGCAGTACTAAGCGTGGGGAAGGATCTCTGGTCTTGTAGCTAAAAATGGTCATTTCTTAAGGCTGATTGGCAATGCCAGATACAGGGAAGGAACATTTAGAGTCTTTTAGGTGAGCTGCATAATGTGTGTGTGTGTGTGTGATCATCACATAAATAAATTTTAATTTTAAACTCTTAATTTACTTTGAGGCCACTTTGCTGCATAGAAAGATTTTGGCAAAGGAAAAATCATACTATCTCAGCTATTGTGAGCACTAGCCAACTGAAGGTATGAGAAACTTATAAGTTTCAGGCTTGGAAAAGTTGGAGATAACCAGTATAACTTTTAAAATAGATAATATTACCGTTGGATGTGGAGGACTTTCCTCCTGATTAATTTTTGCTTGATTCTCTGTCTCATTAGAAGACTGTATTCTATTCAGGACATAGAATAAGTTTGAAACAGGAATGAAAATTCCTATTTAATTTTAGTAAAGATGCCTTAAATGAGACTGGTTGGAAAGTGGAACCAGTTACCCAGGATGATAGTGGGTTCTTCTTTGCTGAATGTTTTCAACCAAAGACTGGATAGCCACTTGCTGGGAATGATTTAATTTGAATTTGTAATTAAGCAGCTGTTTGCTCTAGATCAGGGGTGTCAAACTGGTGGCCCGCGGCCTGGATGCATCATGTGCAAGCCACGCCCAACCCAGCTCCATGAAGGGGGGGGGGGAAACTTTGCGAAATATCATGTGCAACATGACAGGGCAGGTTTGACACCCATGCTCTAGTTGGTATTGTGTGATACTGTAGTCTTTAATTCCTTAAAAACTAAAATATTATTTTGTAATTAATAATTAATGGCTATAACCCTGTTCTTAATTTTGGGATCCTAAATTCCCTGGGACAAAATTAATCTCCCCTGCAGGCAGTTAGATTCTCCATGAGGAGAAATGCACGACAGGAGGAAGCATTTGCACACTTCTCCTTGCTTCTTCAGTTTGTTTTTAGATTCTGCAAACATTTCAGCTATCTGAAGAAAAGTTTAGATTGCTTCCTTCAATTCAGGATTCAATGATATGACAGAATGGATGGGGAAGCTACTCTCCACAACTTTTTTCCAGTTAATCTACTCTGGCTTCTGTTACTAGCTGGCAAAATTTTCAGCTGAGATATGCTCTGGATTCAGTCCACCAGAACTATTATAGCATTGGCTGTGTTCTTTAGGGAATTGCAATGTGGATTTCTGTTATGCTGCTATAAATATTCAGTCTTTCATATTTCATATGCCAACATTGTCTTTTGAAATTGCCATGCTCAGCTGTTTTGATATTTAACACCTGGTTCTACAGATAAGTAAACTGGCTACCTTATTCATATGTAGATACAAAGAAAAGCATCTTATTTTACTTTTAACCAGTACTTTGAGTGGTCAGTTTGACAGTCATATGAGCCATCCTTCACCTGCCTTGCAGTTTCCTTTGTACTTCTTACTCTATTTTGCTTTCATTTATATGACTGATATTCAGTTGGTTGCTTGAGCTGAGTTAAAAGATGGGAACCAGGCTCAAACATGCAGTTGACAAGTAGGAGATCTGTTGGTTGCCTTTTAAAGCTTTAGCTATATAAGCTTTCTAAACTAAGATTAGTGCAGTTGTTGAAAACTATGTTGTGACCACTTAAAGTACTATGATTATAAATAAGAAGCCCCCTCAGTGGCAAATCATGTTGTGCTTTAGTTCTGCAGATGTTTCAATCACTCTGCGAAATCGAGGTGAAGATGCATTTAAACCAGAGCAATATGGTGACTGTATTACTATAAATCAGCACATAACCTCGGAAGGACATCGTAGTTACAAGCTGAAAAGCAATACAGGTGTGTTTATATTTCAGTTTTAATTTTGAAAATGTATGTACCTTTAGAAAAAAAGTTGTACAGATAGATGTTAGTTAAAGATCATTTGTTCAGCGACCCTGGCCATTGCACCATTCCCTCGGTCCGTGATCTTAATCCAGGCACTGGGCAACTGGCTCGCTCTACCGATACAACATCCCATAGCCATGTGATAGCCATTTTCAACTTTCTGCCAGTTTCCCACAAGCGAAGTCAATGGAGAAGCCAGCAGGGAAGGTTGCACGTCGTAGTGAACTTGCATGTTGTTCTTTACCCTTTTCCAGTAATATTATTACTATTTGTCTTTTGTTTAAATTACATAGTGAAGTTCAGACAATTTTTTTCTTAAATGGGTACATTCTTAGAAAGCCTGTTCTATTAAAAGGCTCTACAGTAATATTTATAATGATACTTACAGTTATTCTTTCTTATATTTAGGAATCTTAATTTCTTCCAAAAAAGAAGAACTCACTGCAATCCTGGATCACTTTAATATCCAGGTAACTGCAATTCCATTCTGTACTGAGCAGTGCTGTATATATATTTTTACCATTCCATTGATAATCTGAATTATGGGATCATACAGTATGTGGAATTTGTAATTGAATTAAACAAACAAAAATCCCCTGAGTTATCAGTTCATAAAACTTAAAAAAAAAAACTTAAATACTTAATATAAACAAAGTGATTTACAGTTATATGTGTTCATTAGAAGTTTAAAAACAAGCTGGAACTTTGTAATCATTACAGTGTAGTGTGGGAATGGATATGGAGGAGAATAGTTGGATGTCAGGTAGCTGACTTTATATTTTTTTTACAAAATAAAATACTTTTATTTTGTTGCAGGTAGATAATCCCGTCTCTGTACTCACCCAGGAAATGAGCAAACAGTTTTTACAGTCTAAAAATGAAGGTGACAAATACAAGGTAATAAAGCCATTACGTGACCTGATTTATGACGTATAACAGGTGAATCAGGTTTGTACAGAAAAAAAAATATGAATGTTTGAAAAATGGAAACCAGTGCCTGCCATCCATTCTTAATTTTAAATAACTTGAAGAGAATGGAGAGCAGGAGTGTCAAACTTGATTTCATTGAGAGCCGCATCAGGGTTGTGTTTTACCTCAGCAGGTCAGGGGCGCATGGCCAGCTTGACATCACTTGTGTTGGGCACCTATGGTGGCCCGAGTATTCTGCCAATGAAAACGGGCTCCTGAGCTCCATTTTCGACTGCAACGGCCTCCTGCAACCCTCTTCCAGCTCAGTTTTCGCTGACAGAGGCACCGTGGGCCAGTCCTTCACTGTTTCCAGGGTGGCCCTCTGGGCCAGATCTAAGCACCCCGTGGGCCAGCTTATTAATATTTTTGTGTTGCATATGTTGAACTGGAGAGTGGGAAAGACAGCTTTGTTGAACTGTATGAAAAAAATGCAGTCATAATTCTTGCTTTATTAAAAAGACAGTTTTAAAAACATGATTTTTAATGTTTCTTGAGTTTTTTATGAAAGCAACTCAACTGGAGCAGATGAAAGACGATTATTCATACATCATGGAAACTAAACAAAGAACATCTGATCAAGTTGAACAAGGAGGAGAGGTATCAGAAAACTATTTTTTATATTGTAGTTTGTAATGACAATATACTAATAAAGGTTAAATAAATTTATATAAAATAAATAAATGCATTTTTTTAAATATTAGTAAAAACCAACGACAGTGGTTAGCAAGGTACCCTTTAATTAATTGACTTACAATAGTCAAGATAATTAAATTATCTGTTGGACTGGCTTCTGTGTGGTCTCCCTTTTCTTTCACTTTTACTTTTTGACAATTTGTTTTCTGGTTAGTTAAGTTCCTGTTTCTCATTATGTTAATATAGATTTTTAAAGGGATTTTTTTTTTAGAAACCATGAGTACAACCAAACTATTAGAGGACTGTAGACACCTGGAGGAGGAAGTCCAGAGTGCATACCTTGATAATCAGTCTCACACTATACAGTATAATCAATAAGAAAGGATCCTTAAAAGTCTTAATTGGGCACATTGTTACTTTGTGAATTTTTAATTTCTTGGAAAAGCTTATAATGGTTGTACTTTACCTTAAGTCTATTGAACTTTTCAATCAGTGGTACATATTCAGAAATCATTGTATTTCCCCTACAATCTTTTTATATTTTCTTGTAGTTTCTTGAAGAACTTAGAAAGCAATATTTGGAGAAAGAGGAACGTTACAGAAGTATTGCAGCTTTGAGTGAAATGCAGAATGAGCTACAGGAATTGCAACGTCAAATAGCTTGGGCGATGGTAATTGCTTATCATCTGCAATGTGATATTAATGAGTTTAATTTGATTGTAATATTTCATAAATGATTTTAATTTTGAGTTTATATTTTAGGTACGAGACACTGAAAAAGAAATAAAAGCAATCAGAGTTGAGGTTACTGCCCAAGAAGCAAAAACTGATAAATTCATTGAGCGAGTGAAAGAATGGCAGGTATGTTGCAAAGCTTGCCGTGAAATGGTTGGTTCAGTTGAAATATTAAAATTAAATTGCCAAAAATTGCCTCTATATTGTCACTAATTGGTCACCGCAAAAAAACTGAAGTTTTCAGGTTATGATCTAGAAGACTACAGAAAATTAAGAACTGATTGTTATACATAGAAATACTGTTCCTATTGATTTATTTTGAAAACTAAATAAAAGCTAATTTTGGAATAATACTTTGATAAATAAAATGAATTTTTTGCACATAGAATATTGAAGAAGTGAATAGCTAGATCTTTCCTTAATTTCTTTTATATAGAACCCGTAAAAAGATTCTCTCTTGTTACGTGAATAATAAAAGTTATAGGAAACAGGTTTCAGAGCTTGTGCATTATAACATTTAAACATCTAATCACTTGGCTTATGTGTAATGTTAACAAAACCAAATTGAGACGAACTAAATAAAATGTCAAAGCTTCTTCCTTCTGGAAGCAGAGCTATATTTAAACCCTGTGTAGGATACTTTTGATGTAGGTACCTGAGCACAATAGGCAGAAAACACTGTTTAACTGATCAGATTAAAAACAGAAATATAGGTGCATGGTATATTTCATCAAATTTATAAATTATATAAATTTATACATTTCAAATTGATTGATTGCCAGAAGGATCAATGACAGGCTAATACTTTTTCTGTGAAATGAGGGCTCAAAGAGGAAAATATATTAAGATAACTGCTGTTTATACCTGGTTCATTTATAACGTTCATACTCCAGTATTCATGGGAGATGAATGAAGTCTAAAATATATTGGAAAGCAAGATAAAATTGAAATTATATATTTCAAAATATTGTCATCTTACAGTATTCCAAAAAATGTAACCATGTTAACTTATCTCATTACTTTCAGGTGGATTTGAATATCAATAACTTTTGGGGGGTCATTATTCTCAGCACTTCTGTAACATTTATTTTTTAGAATAAAGTTGATACATCAGAAGTTAAACATAGAACTATGCAAGACGAGCTAGAGAAAATAACCGAAGAAGCTCAAACTCTAGAACCATTATGTATTGTTTTGAAAACAGAAGTGCACGCAAAAAGAAAAGGACACAATGATGCAGAGGTTTGGATTCTCCATCCATAGTCTTAAATTGCTGAATGCTGTCTTATAGTAATGTAATTTTAGTTGCTTATATTTTGTGAAATCGTATGTGTGGATTTTGTTACTGTTGGTGTGGAAGCAAAAATGAATTAGGAAAACTGAAAGATATACGGTCCAGAAGAATATAATTTCAAGAAGGGATTTGTAGGACATTTCCTGTATCTGAATTATGGGTCAGTATGTACTATAATTGTGTTCAAGCTACTTTTAATACAGACCTCTTTTTCTTGTCCAGGCAGCACATAATAGGTCTCAAGCTGAACTGAAGCGTTTGTTAAAAGATCATGAACAACTGTACAAAAAAGTTGAAGAACTAAAAAATAGGTGATAATTCTTTGTTTTTTTAATTATGTTCTATGTTAGAAAAATAATGGGTTCTTTAAAAGTGGTGATGGTTTACTATTATAATGTGCAATATAGAGAAAAAGAATCAAATATTTAATGAATATTCTGCTGCTAGTAGAATTGCATCTGTCCTCCATTTTTCATTTTCTCTCCCAAATCTGCACTATTCAAAAACAAATTTGAGGATAGGGAAAACACAGAGAAGTGATTCAGCACCTACATTTATTATCCCTCTTCCAAGAACATCTATCTGTAAAATTCCACGCGTTTAAAGAAATGAATTGTGCCCTTGAAACATATGCAACAAAACAAATCATAAGAGCCATTTTATTCATTGGTTGTGTCATGCTGTATAAGCATTAAATCTGTAGTTTTGTTAAATTACCCTGTTTAAAATAGAAGTGTTGGACACGGTGCTATTAATGTTGATTTTATCACTAAAGTTAGGCCAAATAAAAATACCCTATAATTACATAACTTGAAATGTAGATAAAAAACATCAGTATTTGTTACTATTTTTTTTCATAATGCAAAGTATTTTATCAAATTAGTGCTTGGACAAAATAATCTAAATTGTACAACATTGCAGTGCTGAACAGATTTCAGAACCTGATAAAGTGGAAAAACAAAAAACAATAGACCATTTGAAAGAAAAGCTAAAGACACTACAGGATCAAGATGAATCCATTGATCAGCAGATAACACAGTTTCAACAGGCTGTACGTTCATATGATGAAAATTTTACTCGACTTAGGTAAGCTTCTTAGGTGGAACTGTGGCTTGATTGCTTATTAGATTTGGTGGTTAAAATACTGGATCAGAAAGTGGGAGACCCATATTCTAGCCTGCTTTTAGCCGTGATCAGGAGCGGTGATTAGAACACAATATTGCAGGCTGACTCTTCCCACTGTTCAGAGTTCAATCCTGATCAGCTCAAGGTTGACTCAGCCTTCCATCCTTCCAGCTTGGTAAAATGAGGACCCAGATTGTTGAAGGCAATATGCTGAATACCATAAAATGCTCAGAGAGTGCTGCATAAAAAGAATGATGGAGTGGTATATAAATCTTAAGTGCTATTGCTATTAATTATAGATCAGGACTAAAGTCAGTCGCTGTCTTTCAGACCATCCTATCTCATAGGGAATGTTGTTGGGAAAAATAAGAAGGAACAATATGGAAGCCACTTTCAACTGAATAAATAATGGGATATATACAATAAATCTAGTAAAGAAAGTACAAATTAATCACTATGACTTGTTTGATTTCTTCATTTGCCTGAATGCTTCTCCTATGGGTATAAAGGACCTGCAAGAAGTAGTCAATGTTGGCATGAGAGGAAATACGCATATACATTTGGTTTAGGTTAGTTCTGGGAAGTGGCATAAATCATTTTGATCTGTACTGTTTTTCTATAAGAAGAAAAGACACCCACCTTTTGAAGGAGAAGTAAGTTGCATGTTTTATAAAGTCAAAAACACTTCTCCTTTTGTAGATATGAAAGTAGAGCAGACGCATTTGTAAAACTTTTAATATTTTTTGGAGATAGTGAATGCTTCTAACTTCCATCTGCAGATCACTACTAAATGATTTAGTTGCTTGTTTGTATCCCACCTTATTTTTATAATATTTGAATAGAAAATGAGAGTATGTGGCTAAAAGAATAAACTTCATTCTACTTCTAAAAATAAATTATTAAGCTGAATATATATGTCCATAAGTGCCCAGTTTTACTATGCACCATAAATTATATACACTATGTACCATAGTTTTGGAGTCCTGAATTAAAAGTTTTGCTAAGAAAAAAAATCAAACTGCATATGAAATGTTTTTTCTAAAAAAAGAGTGTGTGGGTTTTTTTATTTGTTTTTTGTTTTTTTAGAAAGGAAGAAAATGAAGTGAAAAGAAAGCTAGATTCTCAACAACAACAGCTAAGACAACTAAAGGAGAGTAAAACCAATCGTATGAAAAGATTTGGGTCATATATGCCAGACCTTTGTGAAGCAATTGATGCGGCCAATGCTCAAGCACAATTTACATTCAAACCAGTAGGACCACTAGGTAATCTGTTAGTGTTCTTTTCTATGTAATCAAATAATGAACACCTTGACTCAACAGAGTAAAAGAATTGAAGGATAAATGCAGCATTTTCTGCACAACTGTCAGGTCAGCAGTCTTTCCCATGATTGTGCTTCCTACTGAACCAGACTGAGAGACCATTTAAAGGCTCAGGAAACCTTTGCAGGTGTTATGGCTTAATTAGCTGATTAGAATGGGACACTTTGAGCCTAGAATATTGAACCTTTTCACAATATTCTAATTTTCTGAGATTGTGGCTTTGGGGTTTTCATGAGCTGTAAGCCATAATCATCTCAATTATGACACATCACGGCTTGAACTATCTTGCTTTGCATGTAATGAGTCTATCTCATATTAGTTTCACCTTTTAAGTTGCATTACTGAAATAAATGAACTTTTGCACAATATTCTAATTTTTTGAGTTTCACCTGTATATTCTTGTGTAAAGCATGGCAAAAATCTAACAAGAATGCAGGCTTCTATGTTTTATTTCAAAAATAATTAGATGGCTTCGCTGATATACCCGAAAGATGAATACTTCTGCACTTTTACTTTATGTGTAGGTAACTATGAGCAGATTGAATATAATCGGATGCCCTTACCAAAATGTCATCATTGGGAAAAATAAGCAAATATAAACCCACAGATATATTGAATCTTCTGCTTTACTAAAAAAAAAAAAAAAAGTGCTGTCATGGAAATAGCATTGTGCCTACAAATTGTGCTTACAGTGGGAAAAGAAGCAATCCTATTCTGTACAACTGAAGGAACTTATTTTGACAATATGTATTGAGGTTTAATTCTTACATTTAGGTGCTTTTATTCATCTGAAAGATCCTGAACTTACAGTGGCTGTGGAAGCATGCTTAAAAAACCTGTTGCTTGCGTTTTGTTGTGACAATCATAAAGATGAAAGAGTTTTACAGGCATTGATGTCCAAATGCTGTCAAGCTGGTTTTCGACCTCCGATTATTGTTACTCGTTTTCAGAACAATGTTTATGATGTAAAGTCAAGGTAAGTTATATCTGAGTCTTGTTTTAAAATCTAATTTCTAAATCAGCCTTAATTAAAATGAATTCCTTTATTCCCACTTGTCTGATGTAGATTGAACGATATTGTTTTAATTAAAGCTCAGTCATAATTTATATACTAGGAAATAAACTCAATGAGAGATATTTTAAAATAACTGCATATAATTAGTTGTAAGTAACTTCTGAGATTGGCATCAATAAATATGAGATTTACTTTTGTCACCTTTAGCTCATTATAGTGGTTTACAATGGCATATTGATAACAATTCTTGACACATGTGAACACTGTTCTCCCATTTATGAGGACTTTTAATAGAGTATATAATTTATATCCAGTATATGCTTTTTTTAACATACAGACTTTTATAAGCCTCCACTAATTAAAAGGAGGAAACAAGTAACTTCTGAATTTTTTTTCGGTTTGGAGAATTCTCTAAAAATTTAGGAGTTAGTATGCAGTAGTCTTTTTTTTCCCCAGCAATGTGTTTAATTAATTCTAAACTGTTCTATGCCAGAATTATCCTTCCATGTTTAAACCAATCCTCCAGTTTGCTATTTGCCACTCTGAATTGTTTTCATTTTTTCCCAATTAAAACTCATAAAACTATATCCCAGTCAGAACAGTAAAAAATTCTGAATTATGTTGGTCATAAATGTTTTATTTTATTCCTCATGATAAACCCTGTAAACCTCCATGTTTTTTTTTCAGGGTAGAAATGTTTTTTAAGGTTTCCTGTTTCTATGCCCATTGCCAGAAATTTCCCCTAAAACCAAGATAACTTCTGTTGTGGAACAGATTCACTGGTTATAAAGAATAATTCTTAATATTATATGTTGTCACAACAATGTATCTTACTGTTTTAACTTCCCCTAGGGCTGTTTTTCACCCTAACTTCCCAACAGTTTTGACGGCATTAGACATTGACAATCCAGTAGTAGCCAATTGCTTAATAGACATGAGGAGCATAGAGACTGTCCTACTGATTAAAGTAAGAACTCACTCTCATACTTGTAATGCATACAGACTGTTAGCATGATATTTTTGTGATAATTCATTTTATTTAGGATCAAGACAGACTACTCATTATGCTATTTGTGTTTTGTACCAAATCATGTTCAGATGTTTATCAAGTTATTTTGCTATTATATAAGAGAATGAATATTGGGAGCTTAAAGGAAATGATAACAGGGTATAAAGAAAGACTTGCTCGTTTCGTCAACTGTGACAAGAGAGAAGTTAAAATCAGATTTGATTTAAGGCAGATTATCGGTTGGCTGTCACATCAAGGGGATGGTGTACTGATGATCTTAAGAGAATGAGTTCTTGCTTGAAATAGTTGTTGCATAAAGATAAATCCAATAGAGTACAGTATTGGAATAAACCTATTGGTATTCAGCTGGATATTTTAAATTGTAGTGATAACCATATTAAGAAAAGTTTTCAGTCCCATCTGTTTTAAATCTTGAGTTATCAATATTGAAGGTTTACTTGTAAATTGTTGATGTGCTTTATTATTTTTTTCTTAGAGTAATTATGAAGCTCGAAGAGTTATGCAGCACAACAAGCCTCCTAAATATTGTAAGGAAGCTTTTACTGCTGATGGAGATCAGGTGTTTGAGGAAAGATACTACTCTTCTGAAAATAGAGGGCCTAGGTTTCTCAGCAGAGATGTAGAAGCAGACATAAGGTTAGAATAACAGATGACAATTATTTTTATATTAATTCTGCTCTTTTTTTTGCTGCTACTTAAATTGTGTCTGTAGATAATCTATTATAGCAAACTAATTAATAGAAAACATGTGTTTGTTGATATGTACCATATTTTCCTGAAAATAAGACCCATTTTTATTTTCTTTTGGGCACCAAAATAAGCACTAGGGCTTATTTTTGGGGAAACACGCTTTCAGTGTGATCAGCCTGGCTGGGCGCCCCACCCTCCCCAGTGCACACACATGGACCCCCAAGCGCATGGGGACTGATGGTGTTCGGTAGCAGTTGCATCCCACCAGACCCTTAGTCAGCACACTCTGGAGCTGCAAAGAATGGAAGGCACAGCAGAAGGCAGGCAATCCTGACATGGAGTGGAAGGCAGGTGATCCCCATGCACTGTGCAGGCTGCAGGCAAGCCAAGAGACGTGAAGATGAACCTCCCGCAGCCACCCGCCACTCGGCTTTCCCATGGCCTGTGCATCCGGATCGCATGCCTCCTCCCCTCCCGCGCCTCTGCTGTCTGTGTCGCTGCGCGAAGACAGGCCTCCGGCAGCCAACCACTGCTCCAGCCCTCTGTTGCTTGGCTTTCGCATGGCACGTCCAGATTGCCTGCCTCCCCCCTGCGCCTCTGCTCTGTCTGCTACTTGCACAGGTACTCAACTCCCCTGTGATGCGTGGGCTGCAACTGCTACTAGATACCGTAGGCCCAGATATTCTCCGCTTCCTATGCTGACCATGGCCAACCTTTTCACTAGGGCTTAGTTTTGGGGAAGGGCTTATATTAGGCACACAAAAGAGTAGGCTGGGACTTATTTTTGGAGTAGGGCATATTTTTGGGGAAATGGCACATATACAAGCATGGAAAATAAAGGTATGAAAGAAAATAAACTTGGACAGTTATGAACTTTAAAGTGTTGTTTGTATTGCTTGCAAGTCTTTCTCTTCTACCAAGCCCAACCGACTACTTCTGCTGAACCAGTCCAAATTCAGTATTTTCTGTGGTGTCCAGTATACATAAAACGATTTTTATTTTATTAATCTCAATTTAAGAGCACAGTTATTTAAATCCATGCTCAACTGTTTTAAAAAGATTCTTCGCATTCTTGTAAAAATAGGTTTCTAGCTAAAGAGTAGTTGCAATTAATGCTTTATGTCTTTAAGTAATTTGGAGAGAGAAGTTGAAAACCGAAAAACTCATATCTTGGCAATACAACAACGAATAAGTTCTACTGAAATTGACATAAAACAGAACAAACGCTATCTGACTGATCATCAGCAGCACAAAAAAGAACTGCAGGTAAGAAGAACATAGCGGGCAACTTTTATTGGAAAGTAACTCTCATCCTGTTATCTACCACAGTAGGTTGAGCGGAATTCCTGAGTCAGCTGATACAAGTAGGTCTTAGGATCCCCAGATTTGCTATCCTGGAATATTTCATTTGAGGCTGCCTAGACAAGTATATCTTACCATGTCATGTTTTTCAAGGGCTCCCCCTCCCTCCCCAAGTCTCTCTGGCTGAAAAATCAACAGAAACTACTCTTAACACTTGACACAGCTTGGCTAGTTAATCATCTTTATTGTACAATATATCAGGATGAAACCAGTTCTAATATTGTTGATGCTGTCTGTGGTGTGGTGGTTAAGGTGTATTAGGAAAGAGGGTTCTAGCCCATCCTCAGTCACAAAAACTCACAGGGTTTTTCTAGGCCAATCATTCTTTCTCAACCCAATCTATCTCACAGGATTATGAACGTGAAGAAAAGTAAGAGGATAATAATGTGTGTCACCTGGAGTTTCTGATTGGAAGATGGGATACGAATCTATTTTAGAAGAGTGCTTTTCTTTTTTATACTTGTTGTAATTTGACTGTAGCACTTTTAACCTCTCTGTTCATGGCTTACCTGGAATCTCAATTTTTAACATTTTTGTTTCTGTTACAGATAACAATGAGAAAAACAAAATTAGAAATTACAGACCTTGAAAACGTAGAAGAATCAGTGGTCATCTCTACATTAGTAAGAACTGTTTGAACACTTCCTATCTTTATATTATTTGGTACACCGTGATGTAGCTACTGAAGACTGACAGTAATTCCTAGAGTGAAGGATCTTATTACTTCCGAGAAATTGGTTTTATTTGCTGATTTGCATTACATCTTCCTCGGTTACTAGAGGAAGAAACAAGTGAAGAAATGTCTGCAGAAATTATGGATCTTTAGAACAAATATTGTGCTGGAGTCCTCATTTAGTGATTGCAATGGGAACCAGCAACTTGGTTGTTAAACTAAGTGGAAAATCATGTGACTGCCATAGTGCTTATGAAATTACAGAGCACGACATGTGTTAATTGATTATAATAGTGAACACATGACTGAGAGATTCTACAAAAGTCATACATGTGGCCGTTGGTTGAAAAGGTTACATTTTTGGCAACTTTGTAACTACAAATGCAGATAATCCTTGATTTACAGCAATTCATTTAGTGGCCGTTGAAGTTACAAAAGCACTGTAAAAAGTGACTTATGACCATTTTTCACACTTAGGACCGTTGCGGCATATCCCTAGTCACATGATCAAAGTTCAGATGCTTGGCAACAGACATTTATGACAGTTGCAGTGTCCCAGGGTCATGTGATTACCTTTTATGACCTGATAAGCAAACTCCATAGGGAAGCCAGATTCACTTAAAAACTGTGTTATTAAGTGAACCATTGCAGTGATTCACTTAACAAGTAGGGCAAGAAAGGTCATAAAATGGGACAAGATTCACTTAATAAATGTCTCACTTAGCAACAGAAAATGTAGGCTCAGTTATGATCGTAAGTCGAGGACTACCTGTAGTTGCTATCTGAGGCAGTCCCTAAGCAAGGATTACTATAGCGTAATTAGTGAATAAAATTTTCTATCAGTGGTGAGTAGCAACATATAGTGTTCTACAAAGAGCAACTCCATGTATTGGATTTGATTCTGTCTTTTTTTTTTTTTTAATAAAGTTTTATTGAGTTTTAACAAAACAAATAAAACATCTTATTTGAGTACAGCATCATTCCGGGTTATCACATTTCCATACAGACACAATTTCATATGCATATTCATCTTATGTATTCAACTTCATATCTTACTACTCTTTTTCCAACTTCTCACTATTTCTCCCTTCTCTTAATTTTCTTTTATGGTTATCTCATTTTCTTTTTATTCAATTGTATTTCTTTTACCTAAATTTCTGTATCTTTTTAAAAATTCGTTGTACTTATACTTTCGTCTGTCTTGTTTACAATTTCATATGTTCTCTTCCAACATTCTTAAGAAGCAAAATTCCCCCTATGATTGCCAATCGAAGTGCAACACCTTTAAATTTTATTGTTATTATCATATGAAATCTCATTAAACACTGAATTTGTGCATTCTAAAATTATAACATTCAAATTTCTAACATCTATTTTATATCATGTAGATCTTATTCAGACTCTGCTTGGTACTTCCCCTTGAAAATGTAAAAAGAAAAATTCTAAAATCATAGCAGAAATATATATATATATATATATATATATATATATATATATATATATATACACACATATATATAAAAACACATATATAAAAACAGTAAACAAAATAGTTATTCAAAATCATTCTAGTACTGGTATGAACCTTGTAAATCTTTCACATTTCTTTTCAGTATCTATCAATCTTTGAGAACAATTGAAATGTTTCCCTCCCCTTTTCATTATTACTTAACTGTTAATAAGCATACCATTGGATAGTCATAGAGTTTTATCTTATAAATTATTTACTATTAATAAGCAAAATAATTATTCAAATTCATTCTAATAATTCTAATAATAAATCTTTCACATTTCTTTTCAATAGTTTATCAATCTTTAGCAACAATTGCAATGTTTCCCTATCTTCTTTATTATTGCATTAATTATAAATAAACATACCATTACATAACAATACAGTTTTAACTCATAGATTATTTACTTATTTCATGTCTAACTCATTACAGTATTCTACTGTCACAACACTATCTTTTGTACCTTTGCAGAATCCTCACTTTTAACTAAATTTAACCATTGTCTCTGTGTTTTCTAGCTGAGCAAATACCTTTAATCCTAGTACGTTTCCCCTTTTTCTTTATTTCCTATTTTTGTCCCTCATAAGTTCTTTTCCTTTCTATCTTCCCCCCTTTTACTCATCTCTTTTTTTATACCCTTCTCTCTCTCATTTTCCCGTCTGTAGTCGTCTTCTTGCTCTTGAAGCTTTTCCTTTTGCTTTTCCTTTTGCTTTTCATAGTTCAGGATCTCCATTTCAAAAAATTCAAATACGAAGCCAAAGGATCTTCCTTCCCTTTCTGCATCTTCTTTCTGTTTTTTTAAGACTCATTTTCAATTCTTCCAGTAGTGATGGCATTTTAAACACTTTTGAACAACCACCCGATTGACTTTTAGTAAAAACAGAAAAAGAAAGAAAAAACCAATGCCAAAAACTTTTTTTTAAAATCACCAAATGATCCCAGACTGTTCCTTCTTGTTTCTTTCCTTTCCGTGGGTTACTGTATCTTTTAATAAGATTTCAGTTACAATGTATCCTCGGGAGTCTTCAAAGTTTCACTGTTAATCCTCTTTATTTTTCCAGGTGGCACTCCATTTTTCCTTTATTCCAAGTCCCACCCTTTTGCCTCCTCTTCTCCTTTTTAGGACTTTAAAATGACCAAGAAAAAATATTTATTCTCCTTTTGACACTTAGATTTCAGCTTAAGGTTGCCTATTAGTGTCAAAATAGATTAATATAAATTTCTTTCCATACCATTTGTAATTGTCAATATAAAGGTTAAAAAAGGGTTTTTAACCTCCTTTTCTCTCTCCTTTGCCGCTTAAAGATTTTCTTTCAGAAGTATCCTTCTCGGTACTTTTAGGTTCAGGGTACCTTGCTTAGATGTTCTCTGTTTAGCCCGGTCTGTCCTGCTTTCCTCTTTGTCTTCCTCCTGCACAATCTTATCCAGTTGGGTTCTTCTTTGAGGTGGCCATTTCTGACCACCGCTGCAACTGCCTTCAGGGAAGGGAGTTTAGACCAGCCAAGGAGGAGAGATGCGGTTCCCCTCCACTCGGCTAGCAGTCTTCCCCCTCTTCACCTCTACGGGGTGGCTTCAGCCCCAAATCCAAAGGATCGGGGCACTCCAGCGGCGAGCACAGATTGAAATTGCGCATGATCGCGGATTTCGGTCTGTCGTTGAAGAGACCCAAACCGGAAGTCCAGATTTGATTCTATCTTAAAAGCTACTCATGCAGTATAGTTTATATTGCTTCACTACAAATATAGACACCAATTGTTAGCGTATGGAATATTTATAAACCTCACTTCCAAAATATTTGGGGAAATAATATTAAAAATATTAAATTGTCACATGTTTCCAGTGCTTTGAGTAAAATAATTATTACCACCACATTATTTTGTGAAAATAACAAATCTGAAGTGTAATGGATAATAGATATTGAGAGACAATGATAAAATTGATAGCAATTGTCTCTAACACATTGGGATAAACCTGATTTTTACCTCATAATACTTCAGGGGAACTGACCTCTGCAAAAGCTTGTGTTACAATAAAGCTAATAGTGATAAAATCCTTACAATATGGTAAACTCTGTAGTGTCCTTGCTATCTTTTGTCAAGCTGAAACTCAATTAGTAATTCAAATTGACTTTTTTTACATCAGGAAGAAGAAATTAATGATAACCAACAGAAGATAGAAACTGTTAAAGAACGAATAAATAAGCAGAAGGCGAAACTGGAGGAATTGAAATGCCTTTTGCAAGAAGAAGAACAAAAATGTGCAGCCATTAAAGAGAAAATTAATCAAGTACAAGAAGAAGCAGCTGCAATCAAGGTACTATTATTACAATTCAGTATGGTGGACAGAATGAACAAACTATCTAAAAAGAGTGAAACAATGAATAGGTTATATCTTTTGATTCACATTTAAAAGATTTTAATTGTTACTGTGTTTGAGGTGCACCAGAAAATTCATAATAGTAGATACAATGTTCTATAATTTGGCCTGAATAGAACTTCCTCAGGAAAAAAATCTTTTCAGTCAGTAAAAACTATGAGTGAGCAGATTTTGGGTAGGAGTGCTAGCACAATCTATAGTTCTCCATCAAAATGATTGTTCTTTAAGCTAATGTAACACATTTCATATCAAACATTTTTTTAAAGAAGGCAAGCAAGGGAAAAATTGACTTGGGGACCCTTTATGCTGGAGATGGCTGATAGACTAATAGGGAAGAGCCTACCATTGTACCCATCTTGCCGTTGATTTTTTTGTTTCTGTATCTAATGTTCTTAATGTTTTAATATTTATTATTTTAATTGTAAGCTGCCCAGAGTTGCTTTGTAGTGTGAGATGGGAGGGGTATTTTTCTTTTTATTTATTAAATTTATTGACCATCCATCTGGGTGGTTTACAATATTAAAAAGATAAAATATTTCAAAACCTATACACCATAAGCACTAGATAATATAAAAGATAAATACTCAGCCCTAACTAAAAGATGCGGAGGGACGGAGTTGGGTGGAATTCAAATTTAACAACCAGTCCTGTGGGCGTGGCCTAATTTGTGAGTGTGGCTTGGTCATGTGACTGGATGGATGTGGCTTGTATGTAAATATTGTGAATGTTTATGTAAATATTGAATTTTTTATAAAAAAAGAGCAACTTTTACCCAAAATCAGGCAAAGAAGGCAGGTAGATTGAGTTGCTTGCAGAATCACAGAGTCACATATCTACCTTTCTGAAATCTGCTGCCTGAGTCTGCACTGAAAAATAGAAGCTTCAGTCCTAAGGAAGGTTCAGCTCTGCTCTCAGGCCACTTCTCCCCCACCCCAACCCCCTGAATACCACCTCTGACTGGACCTCAGGGGAGCCTCTTGGGTGAAGGCAAAGCAGTACAACAACAGTTTAGATTAGCTAGAAAGCAAGAATTCCAACGATTTCCTGCTTTCTAGCTAATCTAAATTGCCTGGCACGGCTGATAGTCGGAACAGCTGATTGTTGGAAGAAAAAAAAGAAAAATAGCAACTTACCAAAAATTAGGTGAAGGCACAACGCAGGCATGTGAGATAAGGAGTGGTGGGGGTGGGGCGGGACCAGCCAGTGGCGTGATTTGCCGGTTTTCCGAACTGCACAGAATTGTAACAACCGGTTGTATAGAACTGGTCCAAACAGTAGAATCCCATCAGTAGGTTGAGCAGAGGAGGAGGTGGAATCTATTATTAGTCTATCAACCACCTTCAATGTGAAGCCTTCCCCCTCCTCCAATTGTGGAGCCCCAACCCAACTGTTAGAGGTAGGTCTTCAAGCTCCTAAGGAAGGTCAGGAGGGTTGGAACTGACCTCATTCTGTGGGACAAGATGTTCCAAAGAGGAGGAGCAAGAGAAGAGAAGGCTCTTCTGCATCCTGCCCACCATAATATCTTGGCTGATTGGGCCAACAGCATGCCTCCTCTGCAGTCCCATTGGGTTGAGATGGTCCTACAAGTAGCCTGGTCTCATGCCATGAAGGCCTTTAAAAGTGATTACAAATACCTTGAATTGCACCTGGAAGCAAACTGGCAGCCAGTTCATTTATCTGCGGTGCATATACGTCTAATAAATTAATTAACCTATCTTTGGTATTGATTTCCTCCTGATAGGATGGATTACATCAGGCAGAGGATGAACTGGAGAGAAGTAAAAACAATCTAAAGCATTACGAAGAAAAAGAAAGGCTCCATTTGGAATCCATAAAAGCATTTAAACATAACATAGCTACAAAAGAAAGAGAATTAGAGGTATTTACTTTCTTTAAGTATGATTGCAAAATTTCTTTGCAGTACAGTTGCCAACTGAATGATGGGAATAGTGGCAACTTTCTCTATTGTAATATGGTAACATAAAGAAAGGTAATATTCCCTATTGCATATTGTAATACATATTTTATGTATTTCTGTGGAGTTGATTTTAATTAACATAGCTAACAGTCCTTGCTAATAAAAATTACTAATTTAGTTTTCAAAGGCCTAGGAGAAATCAGAGTAATTATTTTTCTAGTTAGGCTTAGGTGCAGAAATAACCCGATAGAAACTCAGTATTCAAATGCAATTAAATATATGATACTAGACAACGGAACCAAGCTTGCAAGGGGGAAAATGTAAAATTTTCAACGACTTCTAGCTTGCATTGTCAAATATTTAAATACTACTTTATATGGATGTTTAGGTTGATATAGCATGCAAAGTTCTGAAATGTTTTAGAGATATCATCACATTGATGCTAAATTGTATAATTTAGGACTTGTGCTGTGCTTCAGATCTGATAGAAAATGATGCTTTGGATTATGCGGGAGTATGAATTTAGTACCTGTCTGTAACTACTTTAATAAGTTGGGCAAGTGATATATCAGTATCTTTTTGCTCCAGATCCAAAGAACTGTATGTCTGCGGGTCTGTGTTTGTGTGAGTCTGTGTTTGAATACTTTAAAGAATTTTTTATAAAAGGTTCAATATTTTAAGTAATATGTTAAATAAGTTACACTAAATGTTAAAATAATAAACTAGAGCAACATAATTTAAAACTTTAGAGCTGTATAAATACCCTGAAAAAGGCTTTTCCAGTTTGACATGACAAAGCACCCAGCACCTCAGCCTTTATTAGCTAGAAAATCACAAGGGATGGGGCAATTTTATTTGTATTTATGAGGAGCAGGTCAATACTTTTAATAAATATTAAAATAATAAATAATCTGACCTATATTTGTTCCAGCTTTATGCTGCTGGATTCCTTCCCATTTCTTTTTGATTTTTACAGAGGGCTAATATGCAGCCCATTGCTATTCAGATTTTATTGCATCCAGCATTTGTGTATTTTCTTCCTTTGCACCTATACTTGCTCTTAATGTTTTAAACCTTCTTCTGTTCCCTTTATTATACTTAGTTTCACTTCACTTTGTTATTTTTTCTATATTACTGCATTATTTTCATCCAAAAATGTAATGAAAATTATCTTTTGCCATATTTTAACATATATATTAGGAAATGATTGTAAAGGCTTCAAAGATCCATCCAGAGCGATTAGAAATAACTAGGACTTATAAAAGTCTTGATACAGAAATGAATCGTTTGAGACAAAAAATAAATTCAGAAAGAGAACGTACTGGAGATAGAGAAGAAATAATAAGGTAAGTGTGTATGTGCATGTGTATGTGTATGTAAATTAATTTTGTATGTGAGGATGAGTAAATATGTAGGAGACATCTGAACCCTACATCAAAGTTTCGTAGCTTAGCTTTCAATTTTTTAAAATTAACATGACGTTCCATAACTCTCTGACTAACAGGTGAATGCCCTCAAAATAATTATTTCCAAATTAATTTATATTCTGAGAGGGATTCCAGTTCATATGTCTGGAAAATATTTTTAAAAAATAAAATCATAATACATTGAAAATGTTTGTGGAGTTCATTGATTTTCTGAATCTGGAGCTATATCATCATTTTTACCTATTAAGTATTAAATACTGAAAATCAACAATTGGTGTTAATTTTCCAATTTGGGCAACTTTGTGTTCCTAACTAATACTGTGTTTCATGAAACAATACTTCTTTTTCACTGTAGAAAGTCACTATCATTGAGGGCCCCCAAATTTTAGTTTTTTCTCTTCCTGGAATGTCATTCCAAATTGTTCAGGATAGTCTTCCAGGCATCCAGAAAAACTTCCTTAGAACATACAGTAGCTGGCTGCCTCAGGTTATAGGCATCTTTCTCCCTTAGAATTTTCCTAGGTTACTTTGATATTGGTTTGAAACTAATGTTTCTTTTTCTTTGTTCTTTTTAAATATGCAGACAACTTCAGGAAGCAAAAGAAAAATACCAGAGTGCAGAAAGCAAAAGCAAAAATTTGAAGAAATTCATTAAACTATTGGATGAGATGATGGTTCAGAGACATAAAACATATCTGCATTTTAGAAGGTAGGCATTATGTGCGTGTGTGTGATATTTTTAAAAATATCCAGTAAGTTAAGGATCTAATAAGAGACAATGACAGTTTGAACTTATTTAAATTTGTGACTTACATGTTTCATGTTAACAAGAACCAATGTGGTGATACAGAACAGCAATTACAGTTTTGTATAATTGAATCACTGTGCATACTTCTTAAAACGGGTGTCAAACCCGTGTCATCATGGCAGTGTCACATGATGTATCGGGACATTTCCCCCCCTTCGCCAAACCAGGTATGGGCGTGGCCAGCATGTGATGCATGTGGCCTGTGGGCTGTGAGTTTGACAGCCCTGTCTTAAAAGAAATTGAAGTCAATAGGCAGAAGGGATTGTTTGTTGTAAGTAGTTTTATCTTCAAAAATAGTCCTATTACTTAATTTTATTTCCTGGTGCCACAGAAGTTTATTAAACTTCAAATTTTGTTTGAAATACTAGCTTTTTTTAGTAATTATAAATATATGCAAGAGGCTGAACAGCAGGTATGTTCTTAACAGATTCAGCCTGGTTTATGAGAACAGGTTGTTTAATTGTCTCTAGGATGGAGGTTTCTGTTCACTCTTGCCTTTGGCAGGACAAGTAAGACTGCACTAAGAAGGATAAAGGAGCAGCACTGGAACTGACACATATAGACAAACCCCAAGTTGTCTGTTAGTGTCGTTTCATATGTTATTTAATAAATTTTCAATTTCTTTCGTATCTTCTTTTCCCCAATATCTTCATTTTGAAGGTTTCTTACTATGCGATGCAAATATTACTTCGACTCTTTGTTAAATCAGCGGTCGTATTCTGGAAAAATAGAGTTTGACCACAAGAATGAAAGACTTTCAATTACGGTAAGTCAGGTTTTCAGTTTACTTTTGTTTTTGTTGTTATTTTATTTTCTGTATTGTTTAGAATGCGCTGATCATTGAATAAAGATTTTTTTTTCCCCCTACACTATGCCAGTTCAAGTTTATACATTTAACAAAGATTGGCCTTAAAATGAAATGGAAAATAATGGTTTTACTCCTCCACACAACCTGCATACGAATGAGCTTCCATGTGAGCACTCTGTTGTACAAAATCATTCCCTTGCAAAAAATAGAAGCAGAGTATTTTTTTTTTAATACCTCAGAGCAAACAGAAAATAATATGCGCTTTTCCCAAAGACACAAATGCTCCCTAGGTCATTGCCTCAATTTAATAGTACTTTATTATCCAAAAAGCTAGAGCTGGCAGGGAAGGCAAAAACAAGCCACTTCTGTACTGTTGCCATGAAAACTGTCATTAGCAGTCAAGCTTGACTTATGAAAACCTCCCCCCCCCTTAGAAAAGAGCTGGCTCAATAATTCATGAAACTTCAGTCACTACTGAATCGAATGTGTCTCATTTTTGTGTCTTAAATGTATGAAAATGTTAGAGTCATCTTCGATTATTATATCACCAGATTGGGAGTTCTTGTAATTAATTGAGGTCTTGTGAACAATATCCAGTCGTCAGAGATGATTAAGCAACTTTTCATAACAAATCTGGATTTTCCCCCCCATATTCCCATTTTAATACATATTATACTTAATTATTCTCCGTCCCACTATTCTTGTCTTCTGCTTCCCAATTAATCCATAACAGCTTTATTTTAGAAGGAAAACTAGATTAAAATAATGAAATACCTAAGGGTATTTATAAGTGCATTTTTATACCTGACAAATTGCCTTTCAGGATGTGTAATTCCTTCTACATTAAAGTCTTTGTACAGGTAGTCCTCAACTTATGACCACAGTTGAGCCCAAAATTTCTGTTGTTAAGTGAGGTTTGCCCCATTTTATGATCTTTCTTGCCACAGTTGATAAATTAGTAACCCAGTTGTTAAGTTGAATCTGGTTTCTCCATTGACTTTGCTTGTGAGAAGGTCACAGAAGGTGATCACATGACCCTGAGACACAGCCACAATCAGTGAACCAGTTGCCAAGCACCTGAATTTTGATTACATGATCATGAGGATGCTACAAAGGTCATAACTCTGAAAAATGATCATAAATCACTTTTTTCAGTGCAGTTGTAACTTTGAACTGTCACTAAATGAACTGTTGAAAGTCAAGGACTGCCTATATCGTAAGATATTATATTTTGCATATTTTAAGTACATAAACATTTGTACATATTAAAATAATTCCTGAATATTCATTCAGGTTATATTATTTTTAATTGTAAACATTTTCCCTTTTTTAATGGTTTGAGGCTTTAATAGATCAAAAATTGTTTCCAGTTACTGTGGCAGAAATTAAGATAGTTTACAAAGATTAGGTCAAATTCACTGTTACCTATATAAGTGTGATATTGTTGTTAAGTATAGCTTTTCTTGAGCAATATGGAACAGTAAAGACTTTATGAGGAAACTTCACTACAAGGAAGTGAGAATGTTACATCTGATTTTGAACATGGCGGATCAGTTGGTATTTGTTGGGTTTTGTTTTTTTAATTGTCAATGTTAATGTTTAGGCCACTTATATATATTGACAGTTTATTGATAGTTATTAACAATCAGGAATTCCACATTAATGAATACATGGAATTAATTCCCAAAGGTATAAACATGTTGGTGAAAGATAGACATAGTGCTTAGCTTCTCTTTCACCATTTTTATTGGCTTTCATAATAACCATGGAATTAATGGACTTGACTCTCTCTGGCCAATTTTTAAGTTAAACAAATAGGGGAAGAAGCAGGGAACTGCTCTGTCTCATATTTGTGAGTATGGTTCTAGCCTGAAAAATGTTTTAGAGGTGACTTTATGAGAAAAAAACTGGGATTCAATTTTTCATAGTCCTGCAATTTTTAATCGTAAAGATCATCACATAGCTGAACGTTCTTGAAATTGCTCGTGATGTTTCTTTTTTAATATAAATCAAAATTATTTTCATATTGGGGAGTAGTTATGACATTTGTCACCTCAAGATGTCCCCATAATTCTAAAAGATGGACTGCACTGAATATTTTGCAGAAAAACAGTAAATGTCTTCTGGCTACTTTTTCTTAGCATAATATTTTATTGCTATTTAAGTTTAATTGTAAATACAGGGTGATGTGATTGCCTGTGTTTATAGTATTAGATACTTTGGATGCAATTCATGAAGCGTCGTGGTGATGAATATTTCATTCATTTCAATGTCTAGCTTACTAAGAAGTAGATTAAAGGCGCTGGCAGAGGTCATCTCAGAACCACTGCACCATATCTTTCAAAAATCCTGGAGCACCGGGGACTACCAGAGGACTGGAAAAGAGCTGATGTGGTTCCCATCTTCAAAAAAGGAAAAAAAAAAAAACAGACCCTGGAAACTATAGACCAATCAGCCTAACATCAATACCCGGGAAGATACTGGAAAAGATAATAAAAAAACAGATCTGCCAACATCTAGAAACAAGTAAAGTAATAACTAGCAGTCAGCACGGGTTTGTTAAGAACAGATCATTCCAAACCAATCCTATTTCATTCTTGAACATAGTGACTAAATTAGTAGACCAGCAAAATACTGTAGACATAATTAGATTTCAGCAAGGCATTTGACAAAGTAGACCACAGTCTACTTCTTAGTAAGCTAGAAAAAAGTGGGATAGATAGCACCACCACTAGATGGACTTGCAACTGGCTGACAAACCATACTCAATGAGTAGTCCTTAATGGGTCTAAGTCTACATGGAGGGAAGTAAGCAGTAGGGGGCCACAAGGTTCCATCTTAGGCCCAGTACTCTTCAATATCTTCATTAACGACTTAGATGAGGGAATAGAAGGGGAACTTACCAAATTTGCAGATGATACTAAGCTGGCAGGAATAGCTAACACCCAAGAAGATAGGCTCAAGATTCAGATGGATCTTCACAGACTAGAACACTGAGCCGTATCTAACCAAATGAAATTCAATGTAGAGAAAAGTAAAGTCTTACACTTAGGCAAGAAAAAACAAAAGTACACATATAGACTGGGTGAAACCAGGCTCAATAGCAGTAACTGTGAGAGGGATCTTGGAGTCTTAGTGGACAACTAGCTAAATATGAGCCAGCAGTGTGCAGCAGCAGCCAAAAAAGCTAATGCAATCCTAAGTTGTATTAACAGAGGGATACAATCGAGATCAAGTTAGATACTAATACCATTCTATAAAGCCCTAGTAAGACCACACCTAGAGTATTGCATCCAGTTTTGGTCACCACAGTATAAAAAAGATGTTGAAACTCTAGAAAAAGTACAGAGAAGAGCAACCAGGATGATTAGGGGACTGGAGACTAAGGCATACGAAGAACGGTTGCAGGAACTGGGCGTGGCTAGTTTAGTGAAGAGAAGGACCAGGGGAGACATGATAGCAGTTTGCCAATATTTGAGGGGCTGCCACAGAGAGGAAGGGGGTCAAGCTATTTTCTAAAGCACCTGTAGGCCAGACAAAGAATAATGGATGAAAACTGAACAAGGAGAGATTTAACCTGGAAATAAGGAGAAACTTTCTGACAGTGAGAACAATCAACCATTGGAACAGCTTGACCTTGGAAGTTGTGGGAGCGCCATCACTTGAGACCTTCAAGAAGAGATTGGACTGCCATTTGTCAGAAATGGTGTATGGTCTCCTGCTTGGATGGGAGGTTGGACTAGATGATCTATAAGGTCCTTTCAGACTCTTAATTATCTGTTATCTGTTATCAAGATTGATCAACTCCTTTTCTTCGGTATAAACTTGCCTACCAGCAGCTGTCCATTCCAACCTTAAGACTTAGCATTCATCCAGCAGTAGAAAGGCAGCATCATATGATCATTCATTGAACAGTACTTATTGGACTTCCTTTCACAAGAAAGAACACAAATTTCATTTTTGACCCTTAACTACAAAGAGAGAGAATTACCCATTATATAGAATTATACAGAATACATTATACAGAATGCTGGACATTAAAGTCATGTATTCAAACATAACTATTTTGAGACTGAAAGGTTAACATTCAAAATGTTTTGCACAACACTACCCTCTAAAGTTTTTTCTTTCAAATATAGAAGAATGGAGTAATTTTTCACATGATTAACCAGGGTTCCAGCAATTTTTGAGAAGCATTTGCTACACAAAGAAACCTCAGTTACCCTATAGCCTCTCAATTAAGGCATTTAGAGCAATCTACACCATAGAAAATTCTGCCCAAAGATAGCAGCAATATGCTTGCTTAGACTAGAGTTGACAGTGAGGAGAACACGAGTTGCCCATTCAGAACATGTGAGCTGTAAAAGAACATTCAGAACATGTGACCTGTAATTCAGGAATTACAGTGAATTATTATTTTTTTAAAGAAGGCATTTTGTACCATTTGTCTTGTAATGGAATACTTGAGGATGTAAAAGAATATATAGACGACTGCAAAATTGGTTAGATTGTATTTGGTTTTCCATTAAGATTATTATTACCAGATGTACTAGTCAGGAGATGAAGCTTACGGATGAATCAATCAAAGGTTGATGTTCAGTCATGATCCAACTTTAGTACTGTTTTTTTTAAAAGAATTTAAAATAGGCCAGCAACCAAGAAAACAAATGTTTACAAATGATTATCAATACATCATGTTGGCAATCAGAGTGAGAGAGTGTCCGTGAAATGCTAGGTTTCCTATTTAATTTGTCATTATTGTCTCTTGGGGACAACTTAGTTGTTTTCTCATACTAACAGGAAAAATATATATAGATACTCCTCAACTTAAAACCAATTGCTTAATTATTTTAATGGTTCAAAATCACAACTGACTTCCACAGAACTACTTATGACCCGTTTTTGGAATTACAATGGCCTACACTCCCATTGTGCAATTGCATTTTGGGCACTTGGCAACCAACTCACCTTTACAGGTGTTTGCAGCCTCCCGTGGTTATGGGATCGCCCACCTTGGTTGTACATGGACTTCTCAGTAAAGTTTGAAATGTCATTCTGAACTGCTTGAAGGGGTTCATTACTGGCAATGCTGTACTGTGTTAAAAGTGCTTCTGCCTTCTCCATCATTGCTCATTTGGTTGCCTTGCACAGAAGTGGTGGTGCTGGGGTTGAAACAGATTCTTGGGACCTTCTGTCATCCAGCCACCACTGCCCCCCCCCCCCCAGCCTCTACTTCAGTCCCAGCAGAGCCAGTGCTGTCACCACCACTGAGAGGAGTGCTTTCTCAAACTAGGTGCTGTGGCCAGCTGCCACACTGCAAAGTCCAGGGCCCCATCTTATAATTTCAGTTACATATTTTTTCTTTTTGAAGGTGCAGCCTGGAAATGGAAACAAAGCTGCTCTTGATGACATGAAATCTCTCTCTGGAGGTGAACGTTCCTTCTCCACTTGCTGCTTCATCCTCTCTTTGTGGTCTATTGCTGAATCTCCTTTCAGATGCTTGGATGAATTTGATGTATTTATGGTATGGTTGGCTGAATTTATGTACAATATTTTAATGTAAATTTATGTAAAATATTAGATCATGGACGGGCTAATTTAGTGGGTAGCTTGGAATTTCTTTTTCTTGGTTTATTTGTTATGTGTTTTTGTGGATGTTTTTATTGTTTTAATATTTTTTAAATGTGTTTTATAATTTTATAATTGTAAGCTTTCCGAGACAGTTGGTTGAATTGGGCAGCTGTAGAAATTGAATGAATGAATAACTAAATAAATTTACAGTACTTTTGTGCCATTAGTTTTTAGCCATTGTGCTCAGACGAATCAGATTACCTAACCCTGAATTAAACAAAGTTGATGTAAAATAGCTGTTATAAAAGAAAAAGTGGCATTGGAATTGGTCTTTAAGACAATAATATACATTGAATTGTTTTGAAATTTTAAATGTTTTTTTAATAACGTTTAGCACAACTTCGATATCTTTTAGGACATGGTTAACAGGAGAATTGCAATGGACATGATGCTTAAGATGGCAGACTCCCAACGTTATCGGCAGTTTATTCTGCTCACTCCTCAGAACATGAGGTATCTATTATACATTTCCCGGTCTCTATCCTTAAAGGCATTTTCATAGTTTCAAAAAATATTTCATTTATCATGTATCATTATCTTTTATCTATACTCTCAAATTTTAATACTTTTATGTGATTTTTATAAGGTCTGAGGACCAGCCCGACCACAGGATTGGACCCTAACTTCAATAGCTGTTATTTCAGGAGATAACTTCTTTCTATTGCTTTTTTAAAATAGAATACTTCTTTTGTTGTTATTTAAGTGATTTGTAATAAGTTATGCATTTGTGAATTATTGATTTTTAGATGATGTTAATTTTTTTCCTCCCTGTGGGTTCATGTCCTTTGTAGACAAACTTTTTCAATCTTCCTATATTCATTCAGAATTTGGATTCTAACAATAAGATTGGGTTCATTGTCCCCAGAAATGAGTGAGGAGATCACTTAGGGGCAGGGGTGTCAAACTCAAGGCCCATGGGCTGAATCTGGGTGCTTAAATCTGGCCTGCGAGGCCAGCCTGGAAATAGCAAAGGACTGGTCCGTTGTGCCTCTGGCAGCCAAAATGCGGCATGGAGGAGTTATATGTGCCCCCCCAGTGCCCTGTTTTAGGGCCTGGACAGCCTCCTGCAGCACTATGCAAGCCAAAATGTAGAGGGGCGGGGCTCACGTCGCCCTCCCACCCCATTATGGCCAGCAGGGTGCTGCAGGAGGCTTCCGTCCTGTCACCCCACCAGCCGGCCCACAGAGGAGAACTCCAGTTTGACACTCCTGACTTTCAACAAACTTCCCATGCAGTCTTGAGATAGGAGCCCTCAGCAAGCTTGAGCCTGTTAGCACCTGGAGGAAAAGCTTGAGCAGTTGACTCTTAAGTTTAGTTCTCACGTGGCATTTAGCAGAAGTGCTGTTGCCATTGTTATACCTGTGGGTAAAATGTTCAGTCAAAAGCTATTGCTATCAGATTGGTGACTAGTTTATAAAGTAAAAAAATAAAAATGAGCAACGGGAATATGAATATCCTAGTATTCAGAGTAGCTTTGTGCAATATTGAATCCCATGGATTTTAATGTATAATGAACAGGTTTTGCAGATTACCTTCTTGCTCAGAGTCTGCAAGATTTACAAATGTAACTACAACAACCTTGATAGATGCCACTTCATTAGTTCTTTAGTTCACTTTTATGGTAAAGAAGGGTTTGTCAATTTTGGAAGCAAATAGAAAACACTTAACCCTCTTTAATGGCAAGGTGAAAGCTGCTACATTGCAGTTGCCATCCATTCATTCTAGTCCAGGGCTTGTCAAACTCACAACCCGCAGGCTGGATGGGTCATATGCTGGCCACACCCACACCCAGTTTAGCGAATGTGGAAAAAGTCATGCTAAGTTACGTGACGACGCTGTGATGATGCGAGTTTGCCACCCCAGTTCTAGTCCTTTCTTCAGCTTCCACCTAATGGCCTTTCAGGTAGTTGAAGGCACCTAGTGTAGTGAAGTTTTAGCAGCTTTAGAGTTTTGCTTCAGATTGTGAAATTAAATTAATTAGCCTAAAGATTATTCCAGTCTGAACAGTATTTAAATTGCTTAAATGTTTTTGATACATCATATTTATACAGATTAAAGATGAGTTGCTATTAATCAGGTGGGGTCCAAATATGAAAGCATTGCATGAAAGAATCATTATTAATGGGTTGTGGTTTTTTTTGCCTTTTGTATCTAGTTCGTTGCCTACAAGTAGTCTTATCCGAATCCTTCGAATGGAAGACCCCGAGAGGGGACAAAAGACGCTGAATTTCAGTCATACAAATGAAGAAGATGAAGATGGAGAATGAGAACATCTAATCTGTTGTCACTAACTTGTTTTTTAATATTGAAGACACACAAGCTATGTTCACTGCTGGTAAAATCAGTGAAAGAGAGCCTTTTTCTTTTTTGAAATTTACTCGTGGCCTTCATACTTGTCTCTATAGCAGGCCTTTAATGGCATCCAACACATTTGAATTTTATGCTCAGATTTTGTAAGCCTTTTGGTGCTAGAATTGTAGCAGTCACTATGTTCTTTCTTCTACTCTGTTCCTATGAATTAACATTTACTGTATATTTCCTGCCAGAGTTTGCTATTAATAATATATTTGCTGAATGTGGGAAATGTTTCTTATTTTTTATTGTTCCCAAGAGAGAGGTAAATATAAATGACAGAAGATGAATAAATTTTTTATGGTATGCTTACCTGATTTTACAATATTTTTAAATGTTATAATAGCAGGTGAAAAACTAAACCCTTTATCAGAAGTCCCCTAACAACATTTCTGTCTAAATTTGTATTGTTTCCTTCATCATTACAATATACATTGTTAAACCACTTTATTGTTTGTTACTGTCTTTCAAATGCTTCTGTTATCCATTTAGTTCCTGTGGCAAATAAAACTTCAATTGATGGTCGGATTTGCACATTGTGCTAAATCACTGCTTTTGAACAAACTATATTGGTATATAGGAAATGCTAAGCCAGGACTAGGCCCAAGGTAAGCCTACCAGCACTGATGAAGTATAAATCCCGGCATTCCTCCTCACTGGCCATGCTGATATTAGCTGTGGGCAGGTGTACTTCTGTATCACCTGGAGGAACCAAAGCTGCTCATTCCTACAAGGGATAAACCAGTTTAAAGGCATCCTTGGTGGTGGTGGGGTGTTATTTGAAATCTTTGGGAATAATACAAACTAACTTAAAATGTGTAGTTTTTCTAAGCAAAAAAAGGAAAAACAATAAAACACTTTCAAATCTAGCATCATACGGAGGTGATTGCATGGATGTTACATTAATATGGGAACTACCTGGAATTATGACGATGGAAGGGGTTTGGTTGTTTACAGAGTATGGGTAGTCCTTGGCTCCAAAAGTTGTTTTTTAAAAAAGTAACGACAGTGTTTTCCTTGAGGAAGAAGAACAAAACGTTTTGTTTCTCATTCAAGAAAATGAGGGACTTCCGTAATGGCCTTTGGCATGAATGGCACGTGATTTGATCATTCCTTTGTTTTCAAATATTTAATAAGTTGATTTGCAATTCTGTCTTCAACTTCATGTACGTGAGAGAGTTTGGAATTCCAGCAGAGATGTCAGCAAGTGTTACCATAAAAAAAATGCTAAACACGTTAACCGTAGATGAGCCTTTCATCTTAAAAACTGCTTTCCAGCTGTCAGAAGACAGGTGCCATCACGCTCACTTAACATTAAGAATTGTAGACTTCAACTCCAAGAATTCTGGGAGTTGAAGTCCACAAGTTGCCAAGGTTGGAGGCCCCTGCTTTAGAGATCATGCAGGACAGTGGTTTGTCTAAGGATGCCCTTTTCTACATGTATATACAATGCTGACAAGAACTGATCACAATGTGTTGTGATATAGGAGACTTTAATTGACACTGGAAGAATCACTTAAGGGCAGTTAAGAGTTGACTTTCTAGCCCTAGAAATTGTTTAAAATTCAACTAGCTTCTCTTCAACTTTGCAATGAGTTTTCTGGATTTTTTTTCAAAATTTTACCTTGTGATCAATTTTTATTTTTTTTTCCCTCAGAAAAAAATCTGCTTTTTATTATTTGTCTATTCATTTCCCCAGTAAATCAACACACGCTCTGCTACCAAAGAAAGGATTTTCTTAACTGTTTTGCCAAGAAAGACACCAAACACAAAGGGGTACACTGAGTAGAGTGGAATAGGACAACTTTCTGCGGCCAACTCACCATGGCCAACTCACTATGGCCAACTTGCTGCGGGACAACTCGCCATAGGGCAATTTAACAATTCAATTTAATTATTTAAAATAATAAAAGTTATTTTAATTTTTGTCACTCACATTTCTTTCTGTCCTTCCTTTTGCATCCTTTCTTTAATGATTCTATTCCACCATTTCTTTGATATTAGTGTAACTCTTGTTCTGCAGTGAGTTGTCCCACGTTGAGTTGGCCATGGCAAGTTGACCCGAGTACAGGTTGTCCTGGATTTACAATCAGTCAAGCAACTGTTTGAAATGATGTGTGCTGAATGAAGGGGTTTATGATTCCTGCCCGAATTTATGGTCACAAGGAACAAAATTCAGGTGCTGAACAATATGCCCATCCTTACGACTGACCTCAGGGACACTGCAATGCCCCCCACACACCTATCTTCTCCCATCCCATTCCTTGGGTTTCTGCAGGTCTTGCCGGGTTCAGGTGATTGCCATTTGCGACCTTTGCCAGGTGGCTTCCAACAAGCAAAGACAATGGGAGAAGCCAGATTTGCTTAATGGCTGTGTGATTCACTTAATGATTATCTTAACAACGGGCGGGGGAAAAAAGGTTGTAAAATCAGATCTGACTCACTTAGCAATTGTTTGTTTGGAACAGGAATGTCAATCCCAATTGCAGTCGTAAATCAAGGGTTACCTGTATACTGAAGGTTCTCTTAGGCACTCCTGCTTGATTCTGACTTCTGATTCTAGCTGAATTTTACATATTTCTGTAATATTGAAAGCCATATATTTTTTTAGCTTTAGTGAGCTCTCTTCGGTTCTCTGGATTTGCATAGATAATCTTGAGATAAAGCAGCCAAATTTGTCTCCTCTTCCATTATGTACTCTGAATACATTGTAAAAGTGGACAGTGATAATTCAATCAAGTCAGCAATACATTGAAAATTAAATCATCTCTCTTCCTTCTGGTGATGTAACCATAACTCTGAATAGCCGCCTCTGCCCCCTGGGAAGACGGGTGGGAAGTTAAATAGTATCCCTCGGCCCCTCCAGTAAATTATCCTGAAGCCACGTATTATTTGTAGATTTTTTTTATTCTAGGGACAGAGGGAGTGGGGAGGTTCATCAGTGAACCATTAAGTTCACTTTTATAAATTATCATGCAATGTTTTTATAACGAGAGCGTGTAGCATTTAAATAGTCATATTTTATTTTACTAGTTTTGGAATATAGCGCAAGTACTGAATTTTGTCCAGTAGTTTTAGGCTGGATGAGAGAATCCATATTCTAAAAATGAATGCAGATAAGAGAGAAATACAGTTAAGAAATCTAATAATACTGGATTAGATTTCTGCCTTTTCTGTAGGGACTTACAGGTGATCTAAAACACAAGATTTGCAATCGGGGAATAAGTTTCAATCCAAATTTGTGGTTTCACAAGAACTGCTTCTGAAGAATTCCATCTGACCAGTGGTACAATTAAACCGGTGTAACAACTGGTTTGGTGAGTGCACACTTTGCTCGCGTGCCCAGCATTTAAACAATTTTTAGCTATAATACTTACTTTCTGCTGCAGCCCCTGTGAGTAAAACAGCTGATGCGCGGCAAACTGCTCTGCTGCGTGAATCAGCTGTGCTCAGAAACAAGGAAATAAAGCACAGGAAAAGGGCAGGGGTGGGTGGGCAGGGCCAAATGATTACTGGAACTACCAGTTCTCCCGAACCGGTAGAATCCCACCCTTGCATCTGACTTCACCCTTTCCTAGAGAATCAAGACTTTATCTCATCAGTTACCACCTCCAATGTTTGTGTTAAATTTATATTTACCAACAAAGAAATAAAGGGAGACTAGTATAAGCCTATTTCAAGCTATTTAGCTCTCGTCAGCTAGCCATACTGGGATTTGAACCCCGGCTACTTGTATATTAGATGATGTCCTAATCTGTAAGCCACGGACTTTCCAAGTTTGTTGGCTATGCCAGGGGAGAGATTGTGTTTTTTTTGTCAGGGTAACCTAGTCTACCCAAATATGGGACAGAACATACTGCTTCCGCTTTCACCCTTCAGCCCCAAATTAGATTACCACCTCCAAATTAGATTATCATCACATATACGGTACTATGGGAAGTTTGTTTCAGATGCTCAGGTCATTTAAACTGGTCTAGCTCTTGGCTGTATGAGTTCAAATGAGAGCTATCTATCAAGGTCCATACTTCATCACAGGCCCTCCAATATCATCTGGAGGTATCAGGACATGAATCCTATCCTCCCGCCCCCCTTGGTCTTTGAACCAAGCGCTTTGGACTTCATAGGACCACTTTAATATGTCTATGCCTACTTGACCTTCTTCCTTTGGCCTGATATTTAGGACAATCAATTTACCTGCATTGTAACATGGGAGGAGTTTCCAGGAGATGCTTTTCAACTAGATGTTCTTAGCCTATACTCCCACACTTTTGTGGCAACAGCTCATACTTTAAAGCTAGGTGGATACTAAAACTACAGTAGTGAGCGCTACTCACCTTTTCTTATTAAGACAACGGTGACAAGAGAAAATTCATTAAGAGCCTCATTTAGAAAACTAGCTTTGCATTCTTTGCCAATGTTTTCCTTTGCTCTGTCCCCAAGATTTTGCTAAGGCATATTTTGGAAAAACAAACTGGGAATCCGGCTGTGAGCTCTTACAATATATTTTTTTCTCAGAAAAGAACACCTTTCGAACAATAGTAATCACAGGATCAACGGTTCAGCTGAACTGGTGTGTTTTGATTCTTTTTTTTTTTTGAGATGTAATGTTTTTTATACTCCCTTCGATTTTGGAAATATGACAATATGATTTTATGAGGGATGTAAAAAAACACACTATTTGTTGCCGTAGTCCTTCTTCTGGGATCAAATACCTTTCACACATGGTTTCAATTGCCCTCTTTAGAAAAAAATTCTAGAAATGAAAACCAGAACCGTACAACCTTTTGCTGGAGCTCGAGGATTTTGATGTTCCTGGAATGTACGATACAAGAACGAGACCCAGAGAAATCGACTAACTTTCATGATAGTTTCTAGGAATTATGAAAGGCTGACGTTAGCCCTTTGCAGTAGACCAGACTAGAAAACCAAAGTTATGAATGCTAAAACTACTTTTATTATATGGTTACAGTAACAGAATCTTGTATGTTCGAATACGCTTTCCCCTTCCCTCTCTTTTTCTTGGTGATAACTAGGGAAGGTCAAGCCTGAGACATTTTCTCAAATTACATTTCTGTTTTGGACACAAATTTCTTTTATCTGACTATTGCCTTGGTTGCAACTCTTCCTTCTATTTCTCAGAGTTATTCCTCCTGTCCATTACACCTGCAATTGAAAATGGTTGGAGATGAGTTCTGTAAACATCTGGGTGAAGTCCCCATACATACATTGAAGCTCCATTGAGAAATATTTGGCTATCAAATAACATTCATCACCTATTTAATTCCAGTGCTAGCAGCAAGGTACCTGTGTAAAAGGAAACACATGAGAAGTCAAATGTTATAAATTTATTTGGGGACATTGATCTCAACCTTTTTGGAAGCTTAAGATTTCAAGCAGAAATTAATACACCCCAACAAAACAGTTTAAACTTCCAATAAAACAACATTGAAAATATGTTTGTTCTCTATTTCTCTATTCGTTTGTTCATTTAGCTTTCAGCTATGGGAACACCTTAGTGGGGTTAGCTTTTTAAAAAAGATTTATCTTATGTTTTACTCTTCTGACATGAGCCTTTTTCTTTTTTCAAATGAAGGATGAAAATGAGGTAAGAATTAAGGCAAACCTAAAAAGTCATGCAAATGAAATACATTTATCTCCACTGACAATACAAGCACATAGCTGGATCAGACTCCTAAAGCTGCCCTCAGTCTGTCCACTACGACTATACAGCAGAATGGTGACATACTTGCTAATGAACAGTTACACTAACATGGGGGGTTCAGTGTCACTAACATTATCCAGTTTAAGAAGACATATAGCTACTGTAAAACTTGAACAATAAATAGTATAGTTCACTGCAGCACGGTATCGCTGCATAGGCATCAGAGGAAAAAAGACTTATGAAATGACATTGCACACATCACAATGTGGCATAATTTTGTTTTATAATAGATATTTTTAAAATTCTTTAGCAATTGACATTCTCATGCACACAAGTGTTTCAAACACAAGAAGCAAGTCCATTGATAGTCCAAGCAATTTTTGTTTGTTTTGTGTGTGTGTGTGTGTGTGTGTGTGTTGTATAGATAGCTGCAAACTGAATGGAACATTTAAACTTCTGTGCAGTCCATGAAAGCATTTTATACAAGCTCATTTCTGAATGTCACATTGCAGAAGTAATACGATGGAAGGGTCACTCTTTGCGGCTTCTTTGAATTCATCCAACGTGATCTGGTCATCTTTGTTCTTATCCATTTTGCTGAAAATCTTGTCTACTCGTTGCTCTGGTGTGAGACCATCTTCATTCATTTTCATCATTATTACAGTGCCCACCATTTTATAAATGGCCTTGAGAGAGGAGAGAGAAAGAGAAAGAAAGAAAAGATTAATTTCATGAGATCCGGCAAAATTACTCGATCCGTTGAAACAACTACAGAGCGATGCTGTAGTTCTCTACAAGAGATCAAGTCAGCTGAGTTCAGTAGGGCTTATTCCCTGGGTAGCAAATATTGGATTGCACTTTAAGCATCAACTCTGTCATCTGGCCTGATTTAAGCACGGCAGTTAAATGTAGATCAAACAGAATGTTGAACATATGCTATCAGTGACAGTACAATACACCACAAAAGTCGAAGTTACACCAAGAGATTATACTTTCTGAATATATTTTTTTGAAAATCTGTTGCATTGCTTCCTTAAATTAGGAGAATTTTATGTCAACATTTTATTAAAAGAATGGGTCTGTATATTTGGGACTATTCACCTATATGTCTATGGAGATTCTCAGTCATTCAGGTCACAATTGTCCCAAAGGTGTTTTTCCAAGAGGCAATTGGACTTTTTCTGTTTTTTCTTTGAAGATGTTTCGCTTCTCACCCAAGAAGCGAAGCGTCTTCAAAGAAAAACCAGAAAGTCCAGTTGCCTCTTCGAAAAAGCACCTTTGGGATATTCACCTACATATTTACTTCTTTTTATACCAGACAGCCTTGTGGAGCTGAATCTTGTCAAAAAGAAGCAAGCCATCCATAATAGGAATAGAAGACAGATTCTGTCACCACATCAACAGTGTCACAGTTAGAGTGAATGACGTTCTTTCACCTCTCTAGGAGAAAATTAAATGATTCACTCAAGGACACTGTTGTATTGAGGTTTAAGATTTAGACCTGGGGTAAGGAAACTAGCCCTCCTTCTACTCATTCATGTGTAAAGATCTAATATTGCTACTGCTGCCTGCTTAGACAAAGACTTTGTGTTCCCCTTTTCAGCTGGCATGCCAGTTCAGTGACAGTAACTAGGACCAACTATTCCTTTACTAAGCAATGCAGTCATAAAATGCAATATCACATGACCATATCACTCAGCGGTGACAAGCCCAGACTCCTTGGTGCTAGTGTTAAGCAAGGATCGTGAATCGTTAAGCCCCAGGTGGATCACAAGCAGGTTGGCAGGTAGATAAGTAGCCAATGCTGGGGGGGGGGGGGGTAGGAGGGAATGCAAGGGTAGCTGCTGTGGTGTAATGCGAACATGGCCAGAGGTGGCTTCCCCACTGACTTTACTTGTCGAAAACTGGCAGAGGAGGTTGCAAATGGCGATAAGATGACCATGTGATACTGCAACCACTGTAAGCACGAGACAATTGTCAGGTGCCCAGCTACACAATCATGTGACTTTGGGATGCTGGATTGGAACTTCGAGGACCAGTCTTGAGTACTGCTCACCAATCTCCGTTGTAACGTGGAATGATCTCTGAACAAATTATCATCAAAAGGACCACCTATAATGATGTCTGCAGGCATCATTTGCATTGTGTTGCCATTTGGAGTGAGGCTGTGCAGTTTTTGCATTATGCATTATTATCTGTGAAGGGGGTCTGGAACTAAATCTTAAATTTACCTTTTATGCCGTAGTTTTCAGGACAAACATTATCTCATGTAATCATTTGTCCACAAAACTTTCCTTACTGTGCCCAAATGTTGGGCAACTACAATATTAGTAGCCACAGCCAGCATAGTGAAGAATACCGAGAGATGCAATTCCACAGAATCCAGAGATGTACCCTATGGCACAGATTTAACTGTCAGCCATCTGACATTTAAACCTCCTGCTTACATAGTCCCAGGCTTTTATTGAGCCAACCATTTTCTTTAACCACTGGCCTATTTCTGCCATTTTTAACCATAAAACCCGCAAGGAGGAGGTTAAACTTCAACATTTTTTTAAAAATCACCAAAGCAGAACATTTTGTTTCTTGCTCACATTAGAAAGCGATGGGAGGAAGCTGGCTTACCTCTATAATTTCCAGCATCTCCACCCTGGTGATTTTCCCATCTCCATCTAAGTCGTACATATTAAAGGCCCAGTTTAATTTCTGTTCAAAGCTGCCCCTCGAAGTGATGGAGAGTGCGCAGATGAACTCTCTGAAGTCAATGGTGCCGTCCCCATTCTTATCAAAGGTTCGGAAAGCATGTTGGGCGAACTTGGAAGCATCTCCATAGGGGAAAAACTACAAAATTAAAACACAGGGAAAAGCATTAGCAGACCTTATAAACCTCCGCTTTTCGTTTCTATATCCAATTTAAGGATGTATTTTAAGACTGAGGGATAAAAAAGGAAGTTGGAAATGAAGAAGAATAAAGGAGAATAGAAAATATGATAAGGTAGAGATATACATCAGATGATAATTGTTAATATACCTATGATGAGAATAATGAGATGTAATGTGAATAAGGCATTATCACCAAAAGGGTTGTAAATGTTTAGCTGTTTGATGTATTTTAATCCTAAATTTAGAGAAATAATATCAATGTGAAAGTGAATGTTGTAAATGGTGAAAAATGTAGCACAAAAGCGTTTGTGCCCAGACAACACACTGCTTCAGGAAAAAAAATGGAATGTTTGTCGTTTTGAAACTGAAAAATAAAAATAAACTTATATATATATTTTTAAAAAGGCTGAGCTCTGAGCACCTTGACCCAACAAAAATATTTGCCTTTCTTAGTATTCTTGTCTTTTGCACGATTTTATGCCATCATTGCCCAAGTGACACTTACAAAATGATATTCAAGTCCCAGACTCTAGCCTTTGGTCCCTTTGAAGATGACATCTAGGCTTGGATTCTTCTTCTTGTGTGCTTGCAGAATTTATAATATTGTAAATCAAACTAGATTAGCTATTTCCAGTTGCTGTCAAGACTGTGCCAGGAAACCCGAGACATATTGGCCTTCGGGGCTTTCCTTTCTTCTTTCGTTTCTTGCTTTAGCTATGAATTCTAATAACCATGAAAATTGTCCATTTATTAAATGAAGACAAAGTGCATCTGCACGACCTTTCGTAGCATTGGATTTCATGGATGCCTTTGTACCATTAACCGGAGAAGGAGCACACGCAGTTACTTTTTTTGTGTGCATGTAATTTCAGCTTATCCAGGATCGATTTCTCATTCTGCTATATTTTTAATATCAGGAGCAATTGAGGTCTTTGACATTATCTGCTTGAGATTTAAGAATAGAATAGAATTCTTTAGTCATGGTAAATTACACTAATTAGCATTAAATTTCATTAAAATGAAATTTCGTTGCATTCAGCGCTCAAAAGATTAGCATTGTGCATATACCCACATGCACACACATGTATGACACAAAGAAACATCACAGTCTAATTCGAATGTATACATAGACATGGCAACAGTGGTGGGATTCAAATTTTTTTTACTACCGGTTCTGTGGGCATGGCTTGGTGGGCGTGGCAGGAGAAGGATGCTGTAAAATCTCTAGTCAGAGGTGGTATTTGCCAGTTCCCCAAACTACTCAAAATTTCCGCTACCGGTTCTCCAGAATTGGTCAGAACCTGCTGAATACCCACCTCTGCATGGGAAAAAAAGAAGAAGAAGACGAAGAAGTATCCTGCGAGTTTACAAGATGGATGGTAACAAAGCTGTTACAGGCTCTAGCAATCCTCCTATAGATACCTGGAAACTTCCTCCCAGAGGTTGGTTGACATTTATGGAAAGTATTTCTATTAAAATTTAGCCAGAATTTATGTGGCTAAGCAAGATGGTTGTTAGGCAATTTGTACTCAGTTTTATCACCTTTTTTGCCACTTTAAATGAATCACGTGGTTCTTAAATGAATCTAGCTCTCCTCACTGACTTTGCTCGTCAGATGTTGGCTGGGAAGGACACAAGTAGTCATCACATCACATCACCTCAGGACATTGCAACCATCATAAATTCATGCGACTATTGTAAATGTGAGGACCAGCTGTTAAGTCACTTTTTTCAGCCCTGTTGTAACTTTGAACAGTCACTAAATGAATGGCTGTAAGTTGAGGACTACCTGATAGAGAGCTCTTTTCTCTTGAGCTATCTAGAAGTCTATGGGAAAGGCGTTATAGCCTGTCGGCCGCTGGCCCCTCCAGCAGCTGAATCAGAGGAAGAGGAGGAGGCATGGAGTCAGGTCAGCATCAGGACAACCTGGGAACTCTGAGGGGGGAAGAAGGAATGTAGCTGGCAGGGAGAGAGACAGAGGCGGAGCCTGGGCCATCCGTCAGCCCTCACATGGAGAGTCAACAGCCCCCAGGCCTGGAGGTGGCTGATGAGGAAGAATAGGAACAGCTGGGTCCAGTGCCTGACGCGCGCGGCTGCGCAGAAGGCAGAGAAGGGGAGAGCAGTGGAAAGACGTGGGCCGATCCTGGGGAAGGAAGAGCCACCGCTGCTAGTGAGGCCCCACCTTAGCTCTGGGGATAAAAAGCAGGGGGCAGAGATGAATTGGTGTGGCAGACAACTATTCATCTTCTGGACAGACGGATTTGTTAGCCTGCAAAGAGAAACTTTTTGCCCGGGCTCCCAGCATTCCTAATAAAGGAATCTTTTGAGTTCAAGTCAGAGGGCTTGTTCGTGTTTGGGGAGCTGGGTCAGAACAAAAGGAGGCCCATGAATCCACATATTCATCTTAAAAAGAAATAAACTTTCTTCTACTCAGGGAGTTGATTGAAACAGCATGTCACAAAGAAACAAAGGCAAAGTTGTATTGCCGAAGAGTCAGAATTGCTCATCTGTACTTCTAAGAGAAAAAAGGTGTATTTCAGATTCACGTGGAACTTTATTTCCACCAGAAGATACCTTCCTTCTGGCTGATAATGGAAAGCCAACACTCTACCTTCTTGCTGAGATGTGAAAACAGCAGGAGTGGTCCCCGGGTATTTAACATCTCACTCCTGACTTGGTCTACAAGTTGAAATGGTTCCAGACATGAAAGTTTTCTTCTTGGCTTTTAACAGAAAAACTAAAGCTTTGAAATACAGCGAAACACCATGGAAACATGGAAGCATGTAATTCTACATTTTTAGTTTACTTTATTGTCATTGCACCTCGGTACAACGAAATCAAACACCATCTTCAGTGCACATCATGGCCATGATCATGAAAATAAACACGAACTCACATCCTTCACCCTTCACACATTGAACCGGAAACCCCCGACACCACACCAACAATGCACTATACAGCAGAATTCAAAAGAACTACTGTCCTGGGATAGAAGCTGTTTTTCAGCCTAGTTGTCCTTGTTTTTATTATTCTGTACCGTCTGCCAGATGGTAATACTTCAAAAAAAGAGTTCCCAGGATGAGATGGATCTTTGAGAATGTTTTGAACTTTCTTAAGGCAGTGAAAGCTATAAAGCTCTTCCAAAGAGGGGAGAGGGCAAGCAATGATCTTCTGGGCAATGACATTAACCCTTTGGAGTGCTTTCCTATCTGCCACTGTGCAATTGGCAAACCATACAGAGGTGCTCTCTATGGTGCAGCGGTAGAAGGTCACCAGCAGTTTCTCATTCAGTTGTTGTTTTCTGAGAAGCCTCAGGTAGTATAATATCTGCTGGGCTCTTTTGACTAGGGCTGTAATGTGGGCACCGCAGGTCAGGTCCTCTTTTAGGGTAACACCCAGAAACTTAAAACTGGCCACTTGCTCCACTTGGTCTCCATTGATAAGCAAGGGCTGGATGTCTGATATGTTCCTTCTATAATCCAGTAGAAACTCTTTGGTCTTATTGGTGTTGAGGACCAAGTTATTGTCTCCACACCACAAAAGCAACTGGTCCACCTCATCTCAGTTGGCAGACTCATCCCCCACACCACTGTTGTATCATCTGCAAATTTAGCAATAGTATTACTAACGTGAGTGGGAATGCAGTCATGCACATAAAGAGTATAGAGTAAGGGACTCAACACTCAACCCTGTGGTGTACCAGTGTTAAGAATAAGGGCTGAAGAGGTATGATTACCTAATCTGACTCTCTGTGAGCAGCCAGACAGGAAATCCATAATCCAAAGGCAGATTGAATTAGAAAGCCCAAGGTCCAGAAGTTTAGACACTAGTCTATGTGGAAGAATTGTGTTAAACGCAGAACTAAAATCCACAAAAAGCATCCTCACATAGCCCTCCCGCTGTTCTAGATGAGTCAGAGCAGTGTGAAGAGTGATGGCTATAGCGTCCTCTGTAGATCTATTTTTTCTGTATGCAAACTGGTGTTTATCAAATGTATGCGGAAGACCAGAAATGATGTGCTGGCAGACCAATTTCTCAAAGCGCTTCATGATGATAGGAGTAAGTGTCACTGGTCTGTAATCATTGAGGTTATTGATAGGAAACTTCTTTGGCAGTGGAACAATGGTGGAAGCCTTCAAACAAGATGGAATAGTGGATTGGGATAAAGACCAATTGAAGATCCTGGTAAAGACTCCAGCCAACTGATCAGCACAGTCTTTAAGCACTCGGTCAGAGATACCGTCAGGCCTTTCCTTTTCCTAACTTTGGTGTATTAGATCTTCAAGAGGAAGAAAACTAAGACATTGTTATTTTTGTCTATTTTAGCCGTCTCAACAATTTCCCAGTTTTTGAATCCATGAAAAGGGTAAGTCACAGTCTGTCTGCTCTCTCAGTCATAAAAGAGGCCAGAAAAGACTTCCTTCTTAATAATAAAAAGTAAGAAAGGTAAAAAATGTCTGTGTTGATTTTAAACAGCCATTAAACAAAAGGAAGCTCAGATTATTAAGAGCAATTAGCAACTGCATATATGTTTTTTAAAAAACCTGCTTATTTCAATTGAAATCATAGAGGAAACCAGAAAGGAAACCACTGACTCTCAAGCCAGGTTGCAATGAACATCTTGCCCTTCAGTGATACAGGTAGTCCTCGAGTTACAGCCACAATTGAAACAATAAATGTGAGTTTTGCCCCCATTTTATGACTTTTCTTGTCATAGTTGTTAAGTGAATTGTTGCATTTTTAAAGTTAACATGATTGTTAAGTGAGCCTGGCTTTCCCATTGACTTTGCTTGTCAGAAGGTCACAAAAGCTGAACACATGACCCCAGGACATTGCAACCATCATAAATAGGAACCAGCTGCCAAGCATCTGAATTTTGATCATGTGACCACGGGGATGTTGCAATGTCGTAAGTATGAAAAATGGTGATAAGTCACTTTTTCCAGTGCCGTTGTAAA